TAGAGCAGGCTTCAGAGCTGTTGTGAGTCACAAGTGACTTGATGGCACATAACAACAATTTGAAATGTGACAGAAAGTTATCATTTGACATGATACATGGATATAGACTCATTTTCTAGGGGATGTACTTTATTTCCATCTTTATAGTTTTATAAAAAAATCTATTATGTCTTGCATCTCCTACTATATTTTATTTCTGTTAGTTGCTTTTTTTAAAAGTATGTTTTGTTCACTGTATATTGATGAAATGTTATTCAGAGTAGAAGTATTCTTTATAGTTATGTCTTTATTAAGATTCTTTTTAATACATATAAACCTCACCTCATTGCCAATAAGTTGAAAGTAACTTACAGCTGACCCTCCAGCAGATATTCAGAGGCTGTGAATCGCACCGTGGGAGATGGCCCGTCATTCCCCTGCAGAGCCCCTGGAGGGTTCAAATCACCAGAGAAGCAGGACCTTTGGGATGGCAGTGCAGCTCCCTAGCCACTAGAACACCAGAGCTCCCTAATCCATGCAAAATCCAGTAAAATGTCTGTTTGCCAAAGAGAATATTGCTTTATCTAATATGCTTTGATATCATCATTATAACCTCTGTTTCATTTTCTTTATAGTTCCCTGGCATACTTTTGATGATTTTTCCCCCCAACCTGTTTAGGATTACTTTATTTTAGGCTCATCTCTTAAAAGACGTCTGTACCCAAAGGCATATGTGACTCTTAGCAAAGAAATTTGAGGCAGCCTAGTTTTTAGTCCTTTGTAGGTAACCAAGTCTTTTTAAAAAATATTTTTTCAAGTGTTTGTGGATTTCCCTCTTTTCTTTGTATCTCAGAGATGGTGACTATTGTTATGTGTTCTCAGGTCATAACCGACCCCTTGCTGACCCACCCGTGGTTTTCAGAGGCAGCAAATCACATGGAAGGAAATTGTCCATTTTTTTCTGGTGGATTCAAACCATGTACCTCTGTGTTAGCAGAGCAGACACCTTACCACTAGGCTACCAGAGCTCCACCAGAAATGTTGTAGGAAGCATGTAATTGTACCTTTCTTCTTAATGGAATTTTGCCCCAAGGGTGCTGTAACTTTCTATAGTTTGTATACCCAGGTATTTTTTCATTTGAAAACTTTTTCTTCTTTTGTATCAATCCTGATTGTGTGTTGTCGGATTGTTCTCTTATACTCATTGTAGTCTCTCTCCTAGTTTTCATGTTCATTGTATCGGTATCATCATTGTATCATGTAGACCCGTGTTCTTTGTATCAGTATCATTGTATCATGTAGACCCATGTTCATTGTAACAGTGATCAGCAGAAGAAAGGAAGAGGTTGCCCCCCTCCCCAAATTTGAAGCTGCCTTTCAAATCTGATTGGTACAGACCCAGAGCTTCTTAAACAGGGGATGTGGAGAGAGGAGGTACTTCCCAAGTGTCATGAGTTCAAGCCCAGAGAGTCACCCTCTGTCGTTCACTCCGTTCACTCTGTAATTAGGGTTTGGGGTTTGTTTATTTGTTTGCATTGACAACTGACTGACTCATTGCCGTTGAATCAGAATTGACTCATAGCTGACCCTCCCCTGGGTTGTAGGTTGCCAAAGCACGAGAGGAAATTGTGCCTCTTTCTCCCTTGGAACAGTTGGTTGATTTGACCCACCAGAGAGGCACAGCAGACACTAACAGTGGTTAGTGCCACTACCCACTGACGAGGCCACCAGACTGTCCTTTGTCTGTATGGAGGTTGTCAGGTGCCATCAAGCATGCTGTATCTCCACTTTTTCAAGCATGATGTCCCTCTCCCAGGAATAGCCAGCCTCTTTTAGCAACATGCCTAAAGTATGTGAGAGGAAGCTTCAGCATCCTTGCCTCCCAGGAGCCCGCTGGCTGCACCTTCTCCAGCACACGTCTCTTATTTGGCTGTCCATAGGATAGCTGGCGTTAGTCTCAGCATTTCACAGAAGGCTTTGGTGCATGTTCGGCTTTCTTCTGTGCTTTCTTAGCTACTTTAAGAAATCACTGAGTTGCTTGTAGTTGTAAACAGGGGGACTATGGCTCTCAGACATCCTGACTTGTGAGCCTGACCCTCATAACCATTCATTCTGTTGAGATGCTATAAGCAGAGCGTTCAACTTCCGTGTAGCCCTCTTGTTCCCTTCTGCCACCTGATCCTGTGGTGAGCCTGTTCTCACAGCCAGAACTCCACATGGTGGGGACACAGGTCCCCATGTGACAAAGTGTTTACAGTCCTCACTGGAAGTCTGGTGGTGGTGGTGTTGTTATGTGCAATCGAGTCACCTGCGACTCATAGTGACCCTACACACAATAGTTTTGAACACTGTCTTACCTACCCCAAGATAGTCCCTCTGTCTCCAACACACCTACCCCCATTACCTCAGTTACTGTGCCAATCAAGGGTCTTCCTCTTCTGTGCTGTCCCTTCATCCTTCTAAGAATGATGTCCTTCTCTGAGGATTGGTCCCTCCTGGCCGCATGCCCAAAGTATGCAAGACACAACTTCAAAATCTTTGCCTCCAAGGAGGAGCTTGGTTTCACACTATCCAAGACAAACCTGTTAGTTCTCTTAGCCGTCATGATAGTATGTTTAGTACTCTTCTCCAACAGCACAACTCAAAGCCATTGATCCTTCCTCTGTCATACTTAGTCATTGTCCAGCTCTCTGACACATAGCAAGTAATTGAAAAGCCTATGGTCTAGATCAGGTGCACCTAGTCTCTAGACTGACATCTTTGCTCTTTAGCGCTCTTGAAAGGGCCCTCATAGATTTTTTTTTTCCAGTGTAATTTTCCTTTTGATTTCCTGACTGCTGGAGCCAAGAGTGATTGTGGAAATGAGCAAGCTGAAATTGTTAGCAATATCAGTCTCTTCTCCATTTATCATGATGCTGTCAGTTGGCCCAGTGGTGAGAATCTTTGTTTTGAATTTTTGAGAATCTTTGAAGTTGCACTTAAATCCATATTGAAGATTGCAGTCCTTAACCTTCTGCCACAAATGTTTCAGGTCCTCCTCAGTTTCAGCAAGGTTGTGTCAACTGCATAACGCAAGTTGTTGATGAGTCTTCCTCCAATTCTGATGCCACGTTTCTCCTCATAGTTATTTGCAAAAGGAGGACTCAAACAAGTATGGGTTTGAAGACCACAATAACCTTATTTGTGCCTGGAGAACTTCCACTTCTGATGTGCTACGCCTTCTTGTGGTCTGAGAGGAGGCAGAGATGCCCATCCTGTGCTGAGGAATTCAGGCCAGTCAACTTACTTGGAAATTCAATCTTTGTTCTTGTCAGACTAGCCGGGCTTTTGGTCTGCTGCTGTCCCTGACAACCTTGTGTGCAGGACAACGTCCTGGTTGTGGGTCACATCGGTCCGCTCAGGCCGTGAGTGTCCACTCCGCTTGCTTCCTGATGCTTTGGCAGCACCCATCTGTGCCAGGCAGGCATCATCTCAGCTAATGGGAAACTTGATGCAGCACACGCATCGTGCTGTGAGGTTTATTAGGGGGCTCCGGACGGCATTTTAATCCCATTAGAGTTGTCAGTGGGAAGCTGGACGAGGCTCCTGGCCAGCTCCCCTATTAGCTGGAGTCCTTTCCTAGTCATTCCTCCACTGATTCCTAAACACTGAGTCATCGGAGCGCTAGGGCACAGCGGCACTGCTCTGAGGCACGAGGCACGCAGGCCCTGGCACTGTGGTCACTGGAACACACTGGACAGAGCTCTTCAGACCTTCCAGATGCCCTGGGAACAAGACTATTAAACCCCATAGGCTCACTTCCAAATTCCATCATACCACTCAAAATGCCCAGAAAGAATGAAAAACCACCCAGCGCACTGCACGTTTATGGAGATACAGATGTGCACTGCCTGAGGCCTCAGGCCCTTTAGCCAACCACAGAGGTGCCGACTTCAGAGACTGTGGCTTCTCAGGAAAGCTGTGGCTTGGCTTCCTGGCAGGCCTGGCACTTTGCCCTGCATCTCAGTCACAGCAAATGCTGTTACATGGTACAGTCCAAATGATGTGATGAGATAATTGCATTTCTAATGATAAGTGATAATCGCAGACCTAATGATACTTCAGTCACCTTGTCGGGAGGGGCCAGTCCTCAGAAAAGTCAACGAAAGTGAGGGAGACCCTCAACGAGACGGACCGAGGCAGTGCCTGCAGCAGTGGGCCGGAGCACGTCTGAGATCACGCAGACGGCACAGGGCAGGGCTATTCACAGGGTCAGCAGGAGTCGTAGCTGCCTGGACAGCACATCACAGCAATGATTAGTAACTTCTTATTGAAATGAACACAGAATATACCCATATTTCTTTTTAGAAGAAATTCTGGCCTTTATTTAGTCTCCACCTTTAGCATTTATGGTAAGCTTAGCAGGCTTAAGATCCCTTCGTTCTGTGACCTTGAGTTTGGCCATGATTTTTGACCAGAAGCAATGCCATTCCTACCCTGCTAAGCAGAGGACCGCGCTGGGCACTCTCTGGGTTTTCACTGTATAACCACTTTCAAGTCTATCTGGGAATAAGTCCAGCCAGGGTGCTGCTTTGAGGCAAGGAGGCTGAAACGTCATCTAAGATGCTTTGTGCAGGTTGATAGGCAGGGCGGGGCCTGTCCTTGGAAAAAGACATCATGCGGGGAAAGGCGGAGGGTGGGAAGAGGAGAGGAGGCCCCTGTGTGAGGTGGAGTGGTGCAATGACTACAGCAAGGTGCTCCAGCATGTTGGAGCTCCTGAAAGTGGCTCAGGGTAGGACAAGGTTCAGACCTTTTGTTGACAGGGTCACTATGAATGTGATCCACTTGATGGCAGCACCTCCCAACAGTAACAACAACAGTAACATTTAAGGACTTAGCTCTGGCAGCCAAAGGCGGCTTCTTTCTCTGTCTGGCAACGTCCCTTGTGGAGCTGTCATGCTAGGGGGAACTTGGGGCGCACTGGGGCGGGGTGAGGGAGGACAGCGGGCCCCTGGCCCTGAGCACGGCCGCTGCCCCCTTAGACTTCTCCTCGATGACGCCCATCAACGACCTCCACACGGCTGACTCCCTGAATCTGGCCAAGGGGGAGCGACTCATGCGGTGCAAGATCAGCAGCGTCTACCGCCTCCTGGACATTTACGGCTGGGCCCAGCTAAGCGACACCTACGTCACGGTAAGGAGAGCGTCCTGGGGCGGGGGCCCGCACTAAATCCAAAAGGAGCCCTGCTGGTGGCCTGGGAGGAACATTCACCCAGACCTTCCGCGGTTTCTAACCACATTAGGTACCTCGGATAGACGGTCTGGTGGGTGCAGTCTTCTCCCATGGGGTTGACTGCCTCGGAAAGCCCGCTGGATGGTCAGCCACGAGTCAGTTCCAACTCATTGGTACTTAACAACTTGTAGCTCTAAGTGAAGGAAGGTGTCTCTCTCAGAGCTGCCATAAGTGGAGAAGAGAGAAGGAGAAAAGCTCTTTGGAGGAAAACTTGGGTGCAGTGGATGCTGGGAGAGAAGGGGTCCCATCAGAGCATCCTTGGCATCAACCCGTCTCCCCTGGCCCCTGAGCACCCCTTTATGTCTCTTCTCCAGTTACGAGTCAGCAAGGAGCAGGACCACTTCCTGATCAGCCCCAAGGGAGTCTCTTGTAGCGAGGTCACGGCATCCAGCCTGGTGAGTACTGCCCAGTGTCACACGAACCGCTCTCCACGGTGAAACTACCACGCGTCCTCTCTCCACCCGTGGCTGACCATCTCTGCTTTAGCCTCAGTCATCCATGAAGTCTGGACAGGCAGAGGAGACACCTGGGCCTCAGAACCCAACGCATGACGCAGCCAGGCCACGTGGGAGGGCAGGCCCAGAGTGTCCACAGAGCGGACCTGTGGGAGGCAGAGCTTGGGACTGGGCCTCAGAGGCTGCGGGTGGGGGAGGCCTGTGGATGGAGGAGCCAATGCTTTATGTCAAATCAAGGCGAGACTTGTCCAGCTGCAGTGCTGGTGACAGGGAGCTCTGGCCCCGTTCTCCTTATTGGTGTGTGCAGATTGAGAAGACTGGTGGGAGCATTTTTGGTAGAATACAGTAGAAAGCTCTGTCTTAGAAGGAGAAAAGGCCCAATGTTTCCTGGCTACGTGATATGTGCGGCTGGTACCTTCATCCAGGGAAGAGGACATCACACTGGGGCTCTGCCAGACGTGAGATGCTTGGGATAGAGAATCTCATGACTCGTTTGAAAAGTCCTAGCTAACCAAACTCAGACTAGGTGAGCAGGGGACCTTGAGGACTTGAAGGTCCCACCAATGTTCTCAGGATAGAACACAAGGACTCTGAGAAAGTGACAGGCACATGGCCTCCCAAACAGATCATGGCCAGGTGGGACCAAGGCCACAGAGACAAGGATGACACAGTCCCTGTCTTGCAGGAGATCATGATTGGCTCAGGGCCGACAGACAAGGTGGTCAGGGACTAAATCACAGGATGAAGGGTGCTCTGGTAGAGAGAAAGCAAGCTTGGGGGGCAGGCCTTGAGAAGGGGATCCCAGCCTCGTGTGCCGTGAGAGGTGGAGGGATGGAGGAAGCTTCTAGAATGAGCTTCTAGAATGCTAGAGTGCACCAATGTGGGTGAGTAGATTTGGGCCAAGGTGCCAACGAGTGGATCAGAGAGAGGGGGATGAGGTCCTGGGAGCCATGCAGCATCTGAGGGGCCAGGTGAGTGGCAGAACACTCATTGCCAGGTTCTTGTTGTCTGGGGGTGAGGTTAGAAAGACTAGGGCCCTGGACGTCCCATCGAGGCATGTGGCCTTATTCCATCAGACACACAGAGCCACTGAAGTGTTTTAAGCAAGTGAGGACAAAGATCAGATTCTCAGTGGAGGTGATGGCATGCAGAGCTGTGCGGCCGCCAACTTCAGCAAGGCCTCTGCTGGGGCTGTGCAGTAAGCTGGTGGAGGGAGGCTGGCCATTCTTGGCCTGTGGGATGTTCTCATCCTACAGAAGAGGCTCTGGATTGGAGCAGGGATTGGAGACATCTCATGATGTGTTGGGTTAAAAGCCTGGGTTTTTGTGTGAGCAGCTGGCTGAACTTTGCAGAGAAGCTCATCACATTTGGTCATCATAAGCTCCAAGGAGATCCTGCCCGGAGTTTGTGGTTTGGAAGGCAAGGTGTGAGGTGGTCAGGAAAGCTATGTCGACTTAGGGCTGCCGTGTCCGGCTGCCTGGTTCGTACACTGCACAAGGAAGCCTGGCCATGAGAGAGAGACGCAAGGCTAGACCCAGCTGGGCTCCACTAATTCTACATTCTGACCTCAGGCTGCGTTTTTTGAATGGGAATGACAGCACCTGCCCATCAGACTCTGGCACCTGGGCTTTGACCTCACGAGAGAAATGCCTCTTGTCATTTGTACACAGGCGTCATTTGGGCTTGTAGCTCTTGGCCTCTTGATATTCTTGTGTGACCATAGTTTACAAATATGAGGATGACAGAGGAAACTCATGCGGTCACGGAGACACCATCGCAGGGAACTCTGAGTATTCGAGGAAGCAGGAGAGTTGGGCTGAAGTGGTGACACAGCCACTACAGGGGGGAGCCGCGAAGTCAACACTGGACACTCACAGCTGTGAGGGCCCCCAGTGAGAGAATCACCGCCACTTCCAGGGGTCAGGCAGCTTGAAAGGTCAAGCTCATCCTGTGAAGTTCACTTAAAGCAGAATTTTGTAAAATGGGATTTACTGACTGTCTTGGTCTCAAGATGTGCTTAAGTCAGTGGTGTCAACCAAACATCCCTAGCCCCACCAGAATCGGCCTCCTTCCCGTGGGGGCGTCTCTTCTCCCTGGGCTCCCAGACTGGACAGTTGGGGCTGACTGTCATGCTTCCTTCGGCGTGTCACCGAAACCCACTGTCACCAAGTCCGTTCTGCCTCATAGTGACCCTCTGTCAGTTGCCATGACCATCAGTCTTAATGGGAGCAACTGGTGGATTTGAACCACCAACCCTTTGCCTAGGTGCTCAGCACATAACCCACTATGCCACCAGGGTTCCTTTGGGGTGCCACCAGTCTCCTAGATAAGAGATAAAGCTATGGGGATTTTTAGAAGTGATACTCTAACTTGGTTAATACACAGAGAACACCTGTCGTTAATAAACTGGGGGACTCCCCCACTGCACAATCAGCACCCGTGGTAGCAGCAGCCAGGAAATCAAAAGCTGTGTTGGACTGTGGACATCTGCTGCCGTGGATCTCCCAGAATGCTAAAGAGCGGTGAAGTCCACTTAAAAACCATAGGCCCCTGATCCAAGCTATAGACCTGTCAGTTGCTCCTTGTGTATCTGAAAGTTGGACCATGAATAAGGATGGCGGGAGGAGAATCCGTGTCTTTGAGCTGTAGTGTTGGAGAAGAGCACAGAACACCCCACAGATACCCAAAGGACAAGCAGATGTGTCTCGGGGAAATTGCAGCCAGAGTGCTCCTTGGAGGAAAGGGTGGCGATGTTTCATCTCACATACTTTGGGCATGTTGTCAGGAGGGGCAAATCCCTGGAAAAAAAGACAATATTCTGGGAAAGTTGGAGGGTCAGAGAGAGAGGAGAGGCTCGATAGGGGAGCTGGCTGGATAGCAATAAAGTTGAGTAGTTCTAGCAGTGTTCTGACATTTTTCTCCTGGCTCTCATAGCAGGTTATTATCAAAGGTCAGTATCCTGTTGAACACGTGAAGCTTCCAGATAATTCCTTTCTCAAACATGCCTTTCTAAATGTTTTGTTTTTGTTTTTGTTTGCCTTTCTAAATGTTTTAGTCTCCTCTGTTCATATATAAGATGAAATCAAGTCTCCCAACATACGAACTTCAGGAAAAATAGCTCCGAGTCAAAAAGACCAGCAAACTCCATTTTTAGGGGAGATGGTGTGGTACACACACATTTAATGGGGTGTAAATCCATGGTGACTTTTATGCCTCCAGACAATTTCTGCCATGGCCTGAGGATAACAAGTCCCTTCAAGGTCAGTTCACTTAAAGTCAGGGATCAAGAGAACCAGTTGAATCCCCCTTCTAGCATATAAAATGAGCATCGCTTTTAGGGGAAACCTAGTCAAGTTCAGTCCAACTCATTTTTAGAGGAGATAATGAGGCTCTTCACTTTAGACTTAACAAAATACTTGGGCGCACCTGCCCATCTTAAAGCGTGACTCTCGGCTTCCTGCTTCATGAGACGCTTTGAAACTATTGAGAAGATAAAGGGAGGAAGGAGATGAAAGGTTAGCATCCGGACACTGATTGAGGCCCGCTTGGGTCCTACAGACTCAGGCCAGCCTCCTTCCAGACCACCTCGAGCTTAAATGCACAGAAGTGAGGCTCACAGGTAAGCGCAAGGAGGGTCGTTAGAGCAAGTCACAGGTGTCAACAAAGCCAGCAAATCGGATCCTTACTGTACCTCCCTTCCCTTTCACCCTTCCCTTTCACCTGCTCACCCCTGCGCCCTCCCTTTCCCGTTCCTGTCAAACCTTTCCTTAGCCGCCTCCTCCCCTCATGCCGCCAGCCGCCGTGCATGCTCTGTTCCAGCCTGTTGGTCAGCGCCCCTGCTCTCTCTGTGCCCAGGCAGAAGCACACAGCAGAGCTCCAGTCATTGCCGTGTCGCAGTCACAGAGCAACCTCCCTGGTGCTGGTGCTGTGGGCAATTGCTGTGTTAAGAGATCAGGCCGGTTTGCAGTGAGTCAGGCCAGCCGCTCGCCGAAGCCTTCAGGGCTGGTTTGGCCTTTCCCGCTCTCTTAGGAGTGGCATCCACTTCGTAAACAATAACGCCCCCGGAAATTCTGTGAACTTTGATAAATGTCAATAGTTGTAGAGGGACTTCGAGCCTTTTGTTCATAGGGTTGCTCTGAGTCGTGCTCGACTCAAAGACACTCAGCAACACTCTTATACACACAGCTTTTAAAAAAATTTTACATTGGTTTGAGTACAAAATTTGTCTTCATTGTACACACATGCTTCTTTTACTGTGACACCTCTTAACCCCTTGACGCCAGTGCCGATGGTGAGCCCCTTGACTGCTTCCTACTTGTTCTTTGAAGTTCACTTTGGGCTCACCGGTGAGACTATGCTCGTTATGCTAGGCTCTTTATCTGTGTGTAGATTGAAGCTTTTCCAGATAAGAAATAAAGACCAAGCTTGGAGGTCTCCGCTGGAAAGCCTTCCCTGGCCCTCCTCTAAGAGGCTGGGATGAAAGATTCCTCCTGTCTGCTTCTACAGAATTCTGTAAGGGGTCCTCTTCTGGTTTTTTGCTATCTGAAGTGTAGTCCATGGCATCATGTGGGGGGTCTGTTGTAAAGGACGACTCTCGGCCCCCGCCGACCTGCTGCCTCAGACTCTGCATTCTGGAATGTTCTCCAGGGCCTGATGCACACAGCAGAGACCCCGTTCCATCATGTTCAAGCTGAAAAACTTGACTCATCTGTTTTACACCTGAGTCCCCGTTAAGCTGGGGGCGCTCTGTCTTCCTCCAACACTAGGGGCGCCGTTGCACTCGGTGATCTGGGATGCGTGCAAAGGTGGGCAGGTGGAGGTGTGCTGCTCCCCCCGCCCTTCCCCAGGCACGTGTCTACCTGTCTCTCTCTTCCCGTTTCTCAGATCAAAGTGAACATCCTGGGGGAGGTCGTGGAGAAGGGCAGCAGCTGCTTCCCGGTGGACACCTCGGGCTTCTGCCTGCACTCGGCCATCTACGCCGCCAGGCCTGACGTGCGCTGCATCATCCACCTGCACACGCCGGCCACAGCTGCAGTGAGTCCCTCCCGCTGGGCGCCCACCCAGCGCCTCATCCCCAAGCCCTGTGGCCACGGCTCTGAGGTTCTCCCAGTGGAAAAGGCCTAGGCAGCTCGGGCTAATAGCAAGCCATCACGATTGTCTGGTGCTTGGCCAAGGTGAGGGGAGAAAGTGTCCACTGTGGGGACCTCCTCACAGTTTCACTACCTGCCAAGGTCTGAGCTGTGGAGCAAAGATAAAGTCAGGGCCTTTCCCCCAGCTCCTGCACGCCTCAGCTGCTGCATACCCAGCCCAGGCCGGCTTTCCAAGGTGTTGGCATCTCTCTCATTTCCAGCTGATCTGCTGGGAAACACAGGTCAGCCTTGTGGGTCTGTGACCCTCACATCCAGCCCAGATTCTGAGGAGGAGGGTGTGTTCACTGCAAACAGCTGATGCTGGGACCCTGGGCCACGCTCACTCATCATAGACTTGGATGCTGAGAGCAGGGGACAGGGATGAGGAACTGGGAGACGGAGAAGGTGGTCCCCAAGAGTCATCCAGTATTTCTCCACACACCCCTGTTACCTACAAAGATGACAGCCCCAGCCTTCACCTCGTCCCACCAAGCTCCAGGCCACAACCAGCGGCTGGTCACTCCGTGTGTTTCCTCAGTGAAGCTCACCAGCTCTGAGCTCACCAAAACAGAAAACCCATTGATTTTGAGTCAGTTCTAACTCACAGAGGCAGCTGTAATCTTTATGAGAAGGAGCTCTGGTGGCCTAGTGAGTAAGGGATTGTGTTGCCAATCCAAAGGCAGATGGTTCGAATCCACAGCGGTTTCATTGGAGAAAGATGGGCGGTCTCCCTTCATGCTGTTTACAGCCCCTGAAAAGCCACTTGGAGGGTCAGCTGTAAGTTCTGACTTGATGGCACATACCAGTCTATGGGGAGGAGACTGTTCCTTTCCTGCAGAAGCACTGGTGGTTTCACACTGCTCATATTCCAGTTGGCAGGTCAACCAGCAATGCCCTGCTTCACCCTGCATCGCCAGGCTCCACTAGGAGAAGGTGTTAGGTTCTGTGGAGTCAAAACTACCCCCAGCTGACCCTCCAGGGGGTTTTCAGAGGCTGAAATTCACATAGGAGGAGATTGCCCATATTCAAACCACCTACCTCTGGATGGGCAACGCAACTCCTTACCAACCAGGCTGCCAGAGAACTTAGACCTCAGGAGTTTGGACCCAGACTCAGTGCTGTGTTTGTGCTGAATATGTGTCTATGCCGAGCCTGGGGCCAGGAAAGGCCCCTAACTCTTCCTCACTTTGATGCACTCTTGGCTTTTAACTGAGGTGGAGGTGGGCTCCAGTCTTTCTGTAACCTGGTTACCTGACGCTTACCTTACACTGTTGTCAACAAACTGAGACTGGTTAATGGTTAGTGAAAGGGGTCTGAGCTGTTTATATATCTGGCCTCAGGGCTGTGAGTCTCCAGGAACCCATCCCAGGGAATCCAAGACCTTGCTTCCCACCAGCCTGGTTGAAAATCCACACCCTGCCTCTTCCCAGAGTGTTGAGATGAAAACAGGGCAGGGGCAGGGCAGGGCCAGGGGCAGGGGCAGCTCTGAGTAAATTCTTCCCACAAATTTGATAAGGTGTCAAGGCTCCTGATAAAACAGTGATAGAAAGACATTTCAGGAAGTAACACAGGAACATGACCCCAGTGGGAGGAGACAAAGGCCTGTGTGGTAGTCTTCCCCACCCCCAGCACCAACTAACTGGCCCTGCAGTGGAGCTGAGAAAGGTGAGGGGGGCCGCCGGTGCTAACCCGAACTCTGTGGCCTCTGCAGGTGTCAGCCATGAAGTGGGGCCTCCTGCCCGTTTCCCACAATGCCCTGCTGGTGGGGGACATGGCCTATTATGACTTCAATGGGGAAATGGAGCAAGAAGTGGACCGAATCAACCTGCAGAAGTGCCTTGGACCCACCTGCAAGGTCTGGCGTGTTTTCCTGGGACAAGGCGGTGGGTGGGAGCGCGGAGAATGTTAGACGTTACACAGAAACCGGAAGGAGGACGTAGAAGTACCTTCCTCATGTGGCTGGAGATTTTAATGCACACCCCAGACATGATGACTTGTATTTACAGAAGCTGGATCCTAAACTGAGTCCTCCTTTCCCCTTAGCAATATGTAGTAACCACCTTGGTTTGTCACGAAATATTTTTATGTCATTATACTTAGTTATTAAGTTAAGCCTCATGGTGTTAAATCACAGTATTACCATTTATCGAAACAGTCCTTCATGGTTTGACATCAGAAGGTTGTTGTCAGAAGTATCTGAATGTAAACAACACTGAGCTGGGATCATTTTCTTAGGTTAAATTCTTGGAGTTTTATGTCCTTAAGCTCTTCATTCTGATTGCTGCATTTCGTCCATAAAGTGACTGCCTCTTTGTTGTTTTGTTGGTGATGGTTTTTATGGGATTTTGTGATTTTTCTCTTTGCACTCATTTGTTCCTAGTATCCCTGAAGTTTGCTCAAATGGAAATTAGTACTCTGTGAGTGAGTGAGAGAGAGAGAGAGAGAGAGAGAGAGTCAATGTGATTTAGAAAAATGAAGTCGTCTTACTGCTGAGCTGACGTCTGAAGGCCCATGTCGTCACTAGTATGAGCCCCGAGTCGGAATTGACTCAGAGCTCACCCTTCAGTAGGTTTTCTTCCCCACCCCCCACCCATAGGTTTTCAGAGGCTGTAAATCACAAAAGAAGAGACTGCCCATCTTTCTCCCAAGGAGCAGCTGGTGGATTTGAACTGTCTGCCTTTGGGTTGGCAGCACTACTTCTTTTTAGAAAGGTCATACTAGCAGGTGGTCTGCTTAATCTTGGAGGTGCTTTGGGGTGCAGCCTAGTTGAGGGGCTCTTGTTCCTGTCTCTGCTAGAGATTCCCTGAGTGTCCTGCCTCCTAAGATGTAAAGTCCCGGGCTGTCCTCTGTGACTTTCTCTGAAGTGTCGTTCACAGTGCCTGGAGCAGGAGATGATGTTCACCTTGACCAAGTGCTAGGAGAATGTCAGGGAGCACTTTCTATTCGTGAAATCTTCTGTTGACCAGAGATGACATTTCTTTCCATTTCTCTGGTGGTGGTGGTGGGGTGGTTGAGGAAGTTCTAAGAAAGAAGCTGTATTACAATCCCAAAGGCTCATAGTTCGAATCCATCAGCTGCTCCGTGGGAGAAGAATGGAAAATCTCCTCCCAGGCCATTTACTGCCTCTGAAAACCCACTGGAGAGTCAGCTATGAGTCAGTTCCAGCATGACAACAAGCACATAATAACAATCACTAAGTAGGTTTTTGGACTTAAGCTAAAATGTCTCTGATAAAAAAAGTTGCCAGTTTCTCTGGTGCAAAAGGAAAAAGCGAGTGAGCTTGTTCTAACAAGAAAGGGTGGGATGTTTACAGTCACCGTGCCCTGCCTGGGCTCCCACAGGGGCAAACGTAACCTGGGCATCACAGAGTGTTCCTGGGTGGGTCTAGAGAGCTCTGGGGATAAAGGCGACCCAGGCAAGAGTCAGCCAGAGGGTGCACCTGGGTCGTCAATCCATCTCCGCCGTCTTATCCCCAACGCTGACGAGTCAGGAAGTGACATGAATAATGAGGACCTCTGGGTTCTAGTCCCCATTCTGCTCCTACTGAGGGGGGACACCTCCAGTTCCTTTGAGCTGCTGTTTTCTCCCATCTGAAGTCAGTACGTTAGACCAGAAGGCCTTCAAGACCTCTTTCTCCTTCCTACTCTCTGAGGGGTGGTAGGGGCTTCCAGAGCAAAGATTGGGGGTCCATGCTGGGGACGAGAGCTCACCTTATTTGTTCCTATAGAGCTACCTCTTCGAGAATCACCCCTCCCTTGGTTTTTTACCCCAGAGTTGACTGAGTCACTGGTCCGAGAGATGCCTTTTGACATTGGACTCTTACATTGGACGTCAAATAATTCCGTTTGTGTTAACAAGTGTACCAGGTTTTCAGGCATCTGATCTCTCCAAGGAGTCAGAGTGGTACAAGTGGTTAGCATGCTTGGCTGCTAATTGAAAAGTTAGAGGTTCAAGTCCATCTAAAGTCCCCTCAGAAGAAAGATCTGACCTTTTCCTTCTGAACAGCTGTTGTTGTTAAGTGCCGTCGAGTCAAGTACGACTCATACCAACCTGAACTAGTCTGTGCCACCTGCACGGTCACTGGCACAGTCAAGCCCATCTCATCGTCTGCTCTGATGCACATGGAGTTGCTGTGAATTTAATGCAACAGAATTTGGAAAGTTCTTAAAGGCCAGAGATCTGGATGTCTGGGCTTACGCCACACACGTGGCTAGCATTGGGGTACTGTCTAGGAAAGACAAGCAAGGACTGGGGGTGGGCTCTAGGGTCGAGTGGGGATGATTCTCAGTAAAGATTTGTAAAGCATCTCTCTCCCTGGCAACTACGAATCAGGGCTATAACTGGTGGTTCCTTTGCAGATCCTGGTGCTGAGAAACCACGGGGTGGTTGCTCTGGGTGACAGTGTCGAAGAGGCCTTTTACAAGGTCTTCCACCTGCAGGCTGCATGCGAGATCCAGGTGAGCAAGGCCCCGGACCAGGGACGGGCGATCACACGTTGTTGCGATGTGAGTGCTGGAGTCCTTGGGCTCCCCATGTTCTGCTGGGGTACCACCTCACCCTGCAGAGGTTTCCTGCTTACGTTCAATCCTGTGGCTTTAGAACAATTGTTTAACCCCCAGCTCCCTACCTTTGGTGGGAGGGAGGGTCAATGCCCAGGAAGAGGAAGCTGTGAGGGGGTATATAAGTGACAATGCTCGTCGAGGTGGTGCCTAGTGTACCTACTTGAGCCAGGAGAATGCTTGCTTGTGTTTGGTTGGCTATGCAAAAGCATTTGACTGTGTGTACCCTGATCTATGAGGACTGACGTCGAGAAGAAGGGAGTCCCAGACACTTCACCGTGCTCGTGCAAAGCCTATGACAGACCAAAAAAATAGTTGTATTTCAGAATCAGAGGGCCACAGAGACCAGCAGCGTGGTCCAGTCTAAGAGGAGTAGAGGCCAGGCTCGGGGGGCTTGTTGCTATGGAAATCCTCAGGAGATGTCCAGGGAATTTCACCCAGTTAGTAAGGAATGGGTTGGTGGGGACCGTGGGACCACTGAGAGAAGCTGATGGAGAAGCAGCAGGGAACAGAGAAACCCTGTGGTTTACCTGGAGCCGAGAGGCTACTGAACAGTCAGGCCCACCCTCCTCAAGCAGCAGGTGTACCAGGTGACTATGGACGGGGCTTTGCACATTTCTGGAAAGATTTGTGCACGAGAATGTCCACGGCTCCATCCTGTCCAGCTCTGCACTGCATACATTTGTGCAGAGGTCCTGCATGCTGCATGCCTGTGTCCCCCAGTTCTGCATGTAGACTGTGGGGTGATTGTTAGGACAGGCTGTTCAGACAAGGAGGGATGGTGCAGACGGTGGAGAAGGCAGGCCCAGCTGCCAGTGTGTGCGCCGGCGTTCGCTCTGCGGCAGTGCACGCAGTGCCCTCTGCTGGCCAGTGTGCACGGAGCATCTGTTTGTCCTCTGGGGACCCACCCAGGGAAGCCTGGGCTGGGCCTGGAAGCCCCTCTAGTGGACACTGGACAGGTGGTGCCTTATCTATAGTCTAAAGGAGAGTATTGTGAGGAGAGTTGTTAAGACAGTGGAGAAGGAGCACTGGAGGAAGAGGTAGGGAAATGTCCCTTGAAATGAAAACAGAAGAAGAGAAGGTGAACTGGGGACATGGGACCCAGGGAGTGCCTTCCTGATGCCATGCCCCCTTGTCTGCCCACAAGCCAGGGGCGCTGGCCCTGAGCTCACTCACGGCCTCACTAACCCCACTTTTGAGCTCTTGTTTGTTATGACTCTTATGTGCCGTCAAGTTGTCTGTGACTCGTAGAGACCCTATCTGCACAGTAGCTCTGAACTCTGTCTTATCCTGAGCTGGTCTCACTGTCTCTGCCATACCTACTCCCATTACCCTATTTTCTTTCTCCAGAAGAAGCTTGCAAGAAAAATTTACTCATGAGGAAGGAAAAACAAAAACCATCCCATCTTCCCTTTGAAAGATGGCCCAGCCCTAAACACGAATGGCTAGAGAGGTCCACATGTCCCACCTTCACTGGGTGCTCCTCTCCCAGGCCTCGACCCCCAGATGGGGTCACTGTGCAGTTTAACAAATGGCTGGATGGCCACAGAGCCACAAGGGCGTGGTCAGAGGGCGAGCTGCCAGCTACAGTCCCCATCAGCCCTCCCTGCCCACTGTCACTTTCTCTCCATGACTGGTTTGGTGTGACTTTGTTCAAGTGCATTAGGGCATACAGGCGGATAACCCCCAGACAAATGCCAGTGACTTTTTCCAGCTGAAGCAACATGGAAGTTTCTAGAGGCCAGTAGGTGGTAGACAGAAGACAGGAAAGATTGCTCCAGGCGTGTGTGCATTTTGGGGCACATCAGAGACGAAGAACGGGCAACCTGCAGGTGCCGTCTGGATTGTATCCCTTCCAGGGCCATGTTTGGAGGATGGCCAAGGGCTCTGCTGGGCCCACCGCGGACCTGCTATCCCCCTTGATGACCTTGGCAAACAAGCCTACGTGGCTGTAAACGTTCCAGTGGCTTCAAGCTACACGTTCATGCCGTCCTCCGTGGGACGATGTTCTCTGTGCGCCTCATCACTTTGGGGTTCTTGGAAACTGGGTCACCGCCAGCCTGGGAGGCAGCTCCTTGCTCTGCTCACAGGCAGATGGGAAGACGCTTGGGTAGTTCTTCTCCATCTGCCACCATCACCATGGAAACTGATGGAGGAAGAGAGCCGGAAGGAAGGAGCTCTTGCAAGAATGTGGGTCGTCCGCTCCCTCCGTTGCCCGTCAGTGACTGGCCCAGTGGGACAGTGTTGCTGGGCCATACGTGATAAAACCTCCGAATGGATTCTCAAAAGCGCTTCCATGGCGTGCCCTCTCCGTAGGAAGCTCTGGGGCTTAGTGGACTTGCACTGCCTAACCAGAGGCACAAGATTCAAATCTACCAGCTGCTCTGCGGGAGAAAGATGGGCAGTCTACTCCCATGAGATTTACAGCCTCTGAAAACCCACCGAAGAGTCGGCTCTGAGTTGGTTCCAACTCAACACACAGCAACAACGACAAAATGTACGTCAGGGGCTATTCTAAATGCTTTGCTAATATTACCTTAAATAATCCTCCTGAAGTAAAGAATGTAGGGGTTTTTCCATTTAGTAGCTAAGGAAACTGCAGCACAGAAAGGTTAAGGAACTGTCCAGAGGCAACACAGCAAGTGAGCAGCAAAGCCAAGATTCAAACCCGGGCAGCCTGGCTCCAGAGCCCATCCCCTCAAACCCAGTGTGAAGCTGCCTCTCCAGGGTTGTGGAAGCCGTGCTTAGAGGCCAGGCCCTCCCTTCAAAGAGCTGCCACTTTAAGACAGGACTTTTGAGTCTCAGGGAGTGTGACCAGAGGGAACCTCTGTCCTTTGATCACCCACCAGTTGCTGGGTGGCCCTTCTGGTCCTGCCCTGGCCAAACAGGCTTCCTGGCTGAACCAGGTGATGGACGATAGTCATTTGAGAGGCTGCAGTGCCCCACCTTCCTGCCGCGGCTCCGTCTCGAGTGTGATGGACACCAGAATTAGAAACCATGACGGCAGACGGTAGATTTCTACCCAAGTCACCCTTCTGTCATTTGAGCAACATGGGGGTAGGATGCCTCCCTAAGAATGGGGCTCATCACCCCCTATGTATATCAGACAAGGATTCTTTCTTGGAGTGGGAAGACAGAATAACTTCTAAGGCTCTTTAAGGGTCCCTGGTGGCACGGTGGATAAGCACTTGACTGTTCTCGGGAAGTGTGGTGCTGTAAGCCTGCCCACCAGGTAGTCTGTGGAGTAAAGACCCTCTAATCTGCTTCTATAAGGAATTCCACCTACAAGACCCCATGGGGCAGCTCGACTCGGTCCTGTGGCCTCGCTGTGAGTCGGGTTTGATGTCAAGGTACACAAGAACAGCTGTGTCAACAGGACGTTTCCTGTCAAAGCTCTACTCACGTGGGCTTATCTCCGTGCAGGCATGGAGTAATCCTTGTAGGATAAGAATGGAACCTTCTAGTGAGCCTGTGTCTTGGATGACGAGGCTGTGGAAATGGAGTGTCCGTGTTTTCACAAGGAGGAGTGTCTGAGTGGCTGCCGAGCAGTCTCCCTTGAGATGTGTGTCGCTCTGATGACTTTAACATGCTCCAGAATCCACCTCAAACCTCATGAGCCCATAAAACTCATGAGCTCATAGATGTGTGTGTGTCCGGATTGGATGGATCCCATTGTCACTGCAAAAGAGTTGTCAGTTGTTTGAAAGTTCCTCATGGGAACTCAAATGTTAATCAGAATACTAATGCATTCTGCATCGCACACCTGCCCCCTGCCAGGGTTACAGAAGGGCCGCCTCCTCACTCTGGAAGGGGGTTTACCCAGGAAACGGAGGCATGGCCAGTTGTATGTGAGTGCCAGACATAGGGAAGCAATTAGAACGCACCGTTAAATAGGCATGGGATTAGAATATGGGGGGCTGGTTAGATTGATGAGGGGTTTCTGGTATCATTCTAAAATTGCCTGTTGTATACACATCTAGACTTAGAGTTCATTGTCTCCAGCCACCTACATCTTCCCCATTGACCTTGACAACGGATCAGATCTTCCACACCTGCCTTGGTCACGCCCCTGCACAGGGCCTGGTTGTGCTCTATCAATACTGTCACCTGTCTCCTTGTTCTGAGTGTCCTGGATGGGGTCTCCCCACTTCGGAGGGCTGTATCCTATCCCCTCCCCAGCCCTGTTGCCTCATCCCATCGGGCCACATTCAAATTGTGACTTTAAAAATGATGGGAAAGGCCTCAAACCTACAGTAAAACATAGAGAACAATGTATTCGGCGTTCACCACCCACCGTCTATTGATCTAACCAATGTCAGAAGCCTTTTTGTTTTCAACATTTTCCTTTTGAGGAAATAGGCAAAAAATTCAAGTCCTGTGGGGACCCCATTCTGGTTTCATCTCACTCGCAGTTAAGAAGTCAGTCTATACTGCACAGGACATTTCCGTCTTCAGTGTGGTGTTATGCTTAAGATTTAACACTTCTTTTATCTTTCTCATTATAGTTTCTAAGAACAACACTGAGGGTGTTAAGTGTTGTTATGATAAAACTAGTTGCTATGTGCTCTCTGAACCATCTCAAAGCTGAACGTCCAGTGGGTTTTCAGGGCCAATAAATGGCCCAGGAAGAGATTGTCCACCTTTCTCTCGCAGGGCAGCTGGTGGATTTGCGCCACTTTCTGTAGAAACGGTGTATGCTCAGCCAGCTACAGTGACATTTCCTCCAGGAGGAAGGCCAGGTGCAGCTCGGTTTCCCGCATATTTGTGGCCCTGAGTTTTCCCCCGTGACACCCCTGCTTCTGACACACATGTGCACATGCACTGGTGCACACTCACAGCTGGGGGGGTCCTGTCTTTGCTGCAGGTGTCCGCGCTGTCCAGCGCAGGGGGTGTGGAGAACCTCATACTCCTGGAGCAGGAGAAGCACCGGCCTCATGAGGTGGGCTCTGTGCAGTGGGCAGGGAGCACCTTCGGGCCCATGCAGAAGAGCCGGCTGGGGGAGCACGAGTTCGAGGCCCTCATGAGGATGCTGGACAACCTGGTGAGTGTCCGGCCGTCAGCCCTGCAGGCCCTCCTGCTGCGGCTGTGCCCCCAGGGAGTCAGTGGCCTTTGTCCAGGTGGACATGGGTAAAGATGCCGTGGTCATTTTATAGTAGCTAAGACGTCTTCGGCAATGGTGTCTGCCACCCACTCTAAGAGCCGTAGACATCATCACCCCTCAGTGTGCTCCGGAAGGAACGTGGGGAGCTATGGGCTGGCATTATAAGTTGTTGTTGTTGTTAGGTGCCGTGGAGTCAGCCATGACTCATCGTGACCCTTTGATCCACTGACGTGACCCTTGCCCTCTTCAGTACCACCCTCAGCGTCTCTGCCCTCTTCCAGCCCATTGTTTCTGTCGATGTCAGTCTGTCTACTGGCGGGTCTTCCTCTCTTCCTCTGACCCTCCCACCTTTCCCAGCATGGTGTCCTTCTCCAGGGACTGGCCCCTCCTGACAGCCTGGCAAAGTCTGTGAGATGATGTTTCCCCATCCTCCTCTCTCAGCACTTCCTCCATGACAGACTTCTTTCTTCTTTAATTTATTCATTTTAATGAAAGTTTACAGAGACTTAGAATTTCCACTCATTCATTGTTGCACTTTTCTCCCTGATCACCCCTACCCCCCAAAACACTCTTCTTCTTGAAAAGAAAAAAACCTCTTTCATTGTTATGCAATTCCTCCCCCCAAGTCCACGCCACTGTGCAGCCTTCACTCTGGAATTCTGTAATAACAAGAATACCCTTTTAAACAGTTCTCTCCCACATCTGTTTCAATACAGTATATACATCATTCCTCTCCTCTTTTTCTGTCTTCCCTCAACCTTGATGTCAGTCCTGTTTTACAACAGTGGCCCTATGCAATATTTATCCTTTTGTGGCTGAGGTATTTCACTCATCATAATGTCCTCCAGGGTCACCCATTTTGTATAATATTGCATGAGTTCCTTGTTTTTCAATGCAACATAGTATTCCATTGTGTGAATACACCACAGCTTCTCTATCCATTCATTTGTTGATGGGCACTTGGGTTGTTTCCAGCTCTTTGCTATTGTGAACAGAGCCACAATAAACATGGGTGTGCATATATCTGCTTGGGTGACAGAGATGGTTTCTTTACAGTAAATTTCCAGCAGTGGAATTGCTGGGTTATTGGTATCTCTATTTGCAACTTTTTGAGAAAGCGCCATACTGCTTTCCACAGGGGTTGCACCATTTTACACTCCCACCAACAGTGAATAAGGGTTCCAGTTTCTTCACAGCCTAGCCAGCATTTGTTGCTTGCTGTTCTGTTAAATTTTGCTATTCTTACTGGGGTGAGATGGTATCTCTTAGTTGTTTTGATTTGCATCTCTCTTAGAGCTAGGGATTTTGAACGTTTCTTCATGTGCTTGTTGGCCATCTGAATGTCTTCTTTGGTGAAATTCTTTGTTCCTTTGACAGCCCATAGGCATTCAGTACTGTTCTCCAGCACCACAGTTCAGAGGCATCAGTTCTTCTTTGGTCTTTCTTATTCATTGACAAACTTTCAGAAGCACAGGGAGTAATTGAGTTCCAGTATTGGAAGTAGAACAAAGTAAATAAGTATCAGAAACAAAGAACTTCTGTTGTGCATTCGTTCACTGCCCTCCTGTAGTTTGTTCTCCCTGGTTTTCTATCTCATATGAGGCCTTAACAGAGAGAGCATGTAAAGCTACAAATTTCCACATCGCTGGTGATCAGCATTATAATGATATTCTGTTGTAATTCAGAGGGCTCGGGTGGTCAAGTCCACAGAGAGCTGCACTGCTTAAGTCCACTAGTGACTCTTTGTGAGGAAGACGGGCCGTTTCCTCTGATTATACTGTACAGCTTTGGATACATGGAGGATGGCTGTAGTCAAGAGCAACTTGATGACAGTGTGTTGTTATTGTTGTTGTTATTACTATTGTAATATACATTCAAGAATATAATGGGTATACGTTTTTTAAAAGCTGGTCTTTTAACAGATGCAAGGGAATTTCAAGACATCCCTCCTTTTTCTAGGGTGTAAAGTCTAGTTGATGACAAACTGCAGGAGACCAGCTTGTACTCTAAACAAAGTGCTGAGAATAGGTGGTTTCATGCAAGATTCCTGTCAGACCTTTAGGAAAGTGACAGGACAAGAATACCAGCTGCCACATTAGTAACATGTTCACCAGTTAGCTTTGAATGTCGATAAAAAATGCTGTATGAGAACAAAGAAATTGTGGCTGCCAAAAATGTCGGAAGAATGAAATACAATAGTCACATAAATGATCTTTTTCTGATACTTAAGGATAGTTCAATATTATAAACCCTTCAAATATCTTTCACAGTATTAATAAACCAAAGGATAAAACCCTTGTGGTTATTGTAATAAGTACCAACTTGAAATAAATTCACCATCAGTCTAGAATGACTGTTAAATAGAACAAGCAAAAGTTTACATAACACTATATAAATGGCTTTTCTCATGATGAAAATGACTTTTTGCCAGAATCTTTGTGAAACTCTAGAAGTGTTTTCTTCCAAACAAAAGAATGATTCATGCTCTCAAGACCATTCTTTTTTCTTAGAATTAAATCCAGTATAATCTGGTTTAAAAAGGAACCAAGTTGGTTCCTACTCATTGCTACCTTCCAAGTTTCCAAGCCTGGAAACCTTCATGGGAGGGGATTGCCCAGCTTTCTACTGTGGAGTGCCTGGTGGATTTGAACAGCTGACCTCTCAGTTAGCAGCCAGACACACTACACACTGTGCCATCAGGGCTACTAAGTGTGAAAACACAGGGGTAAATATCCTTATACAAATGCACACTGGTGCCCCAAATTCCATAAGTCACAGTTCCTTTTTCAAGCTTATGGAGTCTAAGGAGCTCTCGTGGCAAGAAGCTGCACTGCAGTCCCAGAGGTATGCGGTTCAAATCCACCAGGTGCTCTGCTGGAGAAGGGGAGACAATCTCCTTGCGTACCAGTTAGATCCAATTTGACGGTAGACATTAAAAAAAAATATATGGAGTTACCACCATGTGAGTCAATGCCAGCTTGACAAGACTGTTTAATTTTTAATAAGTAAAGAAAATGAAATTACTGTTCTTTAGAGATAATATGGTTATATATCTCTAAAGTTCAGGAAAAAAAGCCACTGAAACATATTAAAAATAATAAAGTGACAATAATCTGATAAACTTTAGAAATGGTTGGATGGCTGGATGGCTGATTATTGAGGTATATAAAAAAAACACTAGCTTTCTTGTATGCTAACATTACCCACTGAGGAAATACAATAATGAGAGAAGATTATCCCATTTGCAAATGGGACAATATTGAGAGAGAAAGAAAAAAATCCTTTTTTCAAATGAGGACGAAATAAGTCTTGCAGAACTCTTATAAAAGAAACTGAAATTGACTAAGAAAGAGCAGAGAAAAGTTGAAATCAGCTGAGAGTGGTAACTTATTCTTGGTGATAAAGTCTCAGCAAAAGAAAGAGAGTAGTCCCCAACCTCCAATTAATATAGAAACTCAGTAATATTCTCTTTGAAATTAGAGTATAAGGGAACTCAGTAATATTCTCTTTGAAATTAGAGTATAAGGGCTCAGCAAAACGTCACCATACAGCATATGGTGGCTGTGTGGATGGTCCAGGGCTGGGCATTGTGACATTCTGCTGTATGGTGGCTGTGTGGACAGTCCAGCGCTGGGTTAGGGTTAGGTGACTCACCTGCGCCCAGCAGCCCAGCAGAGATGCTTGCACAGCTGTGTTTACATGTCAAGAGCTGAGTACAAAGCTTCTTAGTGTCTCTCAAGGTGAGATTTCAAAGAAAGCCCACTTTTTTCTTTATGATTTTCCATGTCACTTGATTTTTTTTCCTCTATATGAGTGTTTTCTTTATAATTTGACAGTCTCCTTGATGATATTTTTTATTGGGGAAAAAAATAATTGAAGATGACGACAGATGTAGGAGTCTACAGGGCGGTGCTGCCAGCATTCCTGTGCGTTTGCTGTCACCCTCACGGATGTGTTCTCGCTCAGGAGACAGGCACGCTCTTGGGTCACATTTTCAGGATTAATTGTTGAATGATTAAGGAGTTTAGGGAATGAGAACGGCAGGGTGTATCCAGCAGAATAATCTCAAACTCATTGCGTTTCAAGGAGGCTAATGTTAGTGGGAAGAGATGGCCCATCCTCCTTCCATCAGAATAATCTAGGAGCTTTTGCAAATCCTGGAACTCGGGCCGTGTTGTTTAATCCCTGTCTCTGAAGTAGGAGCTGGAGTCATAAAGGCTCTCGTGATTCTCTTCAGTGGCCACTGCTGGCCGTGTCTGAACCGGACAAGGGGCTGGGGCTCCGTGTCAGGAGTTCTTCCTGGTGCGTTAGGTCCCGGGGAGTTTCTCAGCTCCAGTCAGAGAATGCGATGGGCCTGCAGGACGGGAAGGACTGGGGTCTTAGTTCCCAGGTATTATCCTCATAGAAATATAAGTGGGGTCTTTAAAGAGCAGACATTTTTCCTCTCTCCCACTTTTAGAGGCTGACATCCAGATCAGGACATCAACCTGTTGACACCTTCTTGTGACTGAACCCCCGGGGCCTTGGTCCTCACCTGCCACCCATCTGCCTTCTCTGTGTGTCCTTGTGTCAGTTCTACTCTCTCTGATCCTTTGGGAAGAACCCAGGCCTGACCTCATTGGATAACAAAGCCAGCCATTGCTGCTAAGTCAGAAGCTACTCATCGCTGACTCCCTGTTAGGTTTCCGAAGCTGTGACTTACACAGATTCTTTTTCTTCCATGGAGTTACTGGTGGATTTGAACCCCCAGAGAAAGCACCACCTTTGAGTTCTCAGTGCAGCTCCCTATGGACCATATCACCAGAGCTTCCAGACAGGCTCACAATCACTAAGTCAGAGGTCAGAAACTCAGCACATGTTGTAGGGGGACGTTGTTCAGTCCCTAAGAGGCCTCAAAGGGAAGGCATGACCTTGACACCTATGCTAAGAGCTGCTTGGCCTCCCCTGTAACCTGGAGATACCGTCTGAAACGGAGCCCCTTCTTATCCTTTCTAGGGTTACAGGACAGGCTACACGTACCGCCACCCGTTTGTTCAAGAGAAAACCAAACACAAAAGTGAAGTGGAGATCCCAGCCACGGTCACAGCCTTCGTGTTCGAGGAGGACGGCACCCCGGTGCCCATGCTGCGGCAGCACGCCCAGAAGCAGCAGAAGGAGAAGACGCGGTGGCTGAACACCCCCAACACCTACCTGCGGGTCAACGTGGCCGACGAGGTCCAGAGGAACATGGGCAGCCCACGGCCCAAGACCACGGTGAGGAGCGGGGGACCCCAAGACAGAGGAGAGGGCTGGGCTTGTGGAGAGGTGAGGTGGTGGTGTGAGGTGCCATTGAGTCGACCATGATTAGCAGTGACCCGTGAACAGTGAGCCCTGCCGTATCCTGCACCAACTTCAGCCTCTCTGGTTGCTCCGGTCCCCTGTTCCAGTGTCCATGTCAATCCACGTGAGCCCTAACGAGGAGGCTTCAGACACATGCAGGGGAGTAATCCCTGTCTCCAGACCCTCTTCATCTGTAGATGTGTTGTTGTTGTTAGGTGCCACTGAGTCGACTATCACCCATAGCAACCCTACTAAGAGCACTGGATTTGCCCTGTCTGGCCATCCCGTGGTCTCTGACATGCTGGAGCCCCCGTTACTGTCACTGGGTCAGGCCGCCTCAGTGAGGGTCTTCCTCTCTCTCTCATCTCCCGCTTTCCCTGCACAATGACTTTCCAAACCCTGGCCCCTCCTGACAGCGTCCCCAAAGTGTGCGAGACCAAGTTTCCCCATCACCGCCTCTAAGGAGCTTCTAGAAGAGGTCCTAAAAACAACCCCAACCAAAACAGACCGGACCCACAGAGCTTCACAAATAAATTCCATGAACAGTAGAGAAGAGCTGAAGCCAGTTCTCCTCACGAGATTTCAAAATACAGAAAAGAAGGAGCTCTCCCGAATTCATTCCACGAAGCAAGCGTCACCTTTCTGCCAAAGACATGCAGAGACATGATCATTCTAAAAGACAGACGATAGACCAGTATCCCTCATGAACGTAGATGCAGACGTTCTCAGCAAGATCCTAGCCGATGGAATCCAACATCGTGTCCCACCAAAATCATTTGCCGTGATCACGGGGGACCGGAAGGAGAATGGAGCAAAGCTGGGGCGTTTCTTCACAGAGCGAGCGCCCTGGTGGTTGTCAGGGCCACCGCTCATGCCCACCGTACTTTGGACTCCTCCTCCTCAAGCGTCTGCTATGAACAGGCATTTGGGTGTGAGGGGCAGGACTCTCCCGGCAGCACAGACCCCAGGAGCGTTGGTTTCCCAAGGTGGAGCTTGGTCCCACCTCCCGAGAGCCTTCTGGAGAGTCCGAGGGCCATAGCTGAGTGTTTGGACAGCATGCCTGACGCAAACCCACGAAGTGGCCGCGGGCTCATGTCTGCTACATTTCTTCCCCTGCCTCCCTCCCTCCCTCCCTCCCTCCTCCTTTCTCACTTTCCTCCTCTGTCTCTTCCTTCCTTCCCAACCACCCTCCCTTCCCCGCGCTCTCCTCTCACACATACCCTGACTCACGTTCTTGTGAACGTAACAGTAACTGGCGGCTGGGATGCTACCGTGTCCTAGTGGTTAATACACTTGCCTGCCAACTGTAAGGTTTGGGGTTTGGATCCACCGAGAGGTAACTGGAAAGAACGAGCTCCTGACCTCCTGAAACACCAGCCATGGGGCCCCGTGTCACCTGACCCGCGTGGGCTTGCCATGTTGTTGCTGTTGTTAGGTGACCCCTGTGAACAACAGATCTGAGCCCTGCCCGACCCTGCGCCGTCCTCACCCCTTAGACACTGTGTCAGTCCACCCTTGAGGGTCTTCCTCTGGAAGCTGACCCCCACCCTTCCAGGCATCATCTCTTTCTCCGAGGACTGGCCTCTCTCAACGTGAATTGGGATCAGTTCCTTGGCAGCTGGCTAGCTGGCAGCCGGGAGACTAGCTCTTCCGAAGACGAGAGGCCCCACAGGTGGGCGTCAGCGAGTCATCTAACCCTGGGGTCAGAGGTTGTCTCTCCGCCGAGGCTGGTTACTGAGGTCCGGCCCTGCTCTCCCAGCTTCCTCAGGCTGACCACTGCTTGGCCTCAGGGCCTTCTCTGGCAGGTCTGTTGGTTCTCTGCTCTGAGGGCCAAACTTTAAAGACACCAAAGAGGAGAACATTTTTCTGTAGGCCTCTGACCTTCCCAGTCAGCCAGGACATGGGGTGACCACTGGGGGTAGGTATGTCCACCCTCTGCTGCCGGACCCAGCTGACCTTGTGTTTGCTCAGCGAATGAAGGATGATGAAGAGAGGTCCAGGGGGGCCCCAGGGGTGACAGGGTGACTTCTGGGGGTAGGTACGGCCGCACCCTCCTGCCTCACCCAGCTCATCTTGTGTTTGCCCAGTGGATGAAGGCTGACGAGGTGGAGAAGTCCAGCAGTGGCATGCCCATACGGATCGAAAACCCAAACCAATTTGTGCCTCTCTACACTGACCCCCAGGAAGTACTGGACATGCGGAACAAGGTGAGTGAGTGGTCACCATGCTTCCCCTTTGTTCACGGGGAGTGGGTCACCCCAGGTGCGTCATGTGGGAGAGAACCCTGAATTTCTCGAGCTCTTTCCAGGCCCTGTGCTCAGGTAGCCCCATATAGTCCTCTACCTCGAGGCTACTTGTTTCACGTGTTACATGGGACCCAGAGACGTGCCTGTAAATGCAATATTTATTCATCTCGAGCCGGTGACCTCGTGGGTAAGGAGTTGCTCTGTCAACCCAAAGGCACACGGTTCAAATCCACCAGCTACTTCAAGGGGAAAGGATGGGCAGGCTCCTCCCGTGTGATTTACTACCTCAGAAAAAATCTGCAGAGTCAGCCCTGAGTCAGTTCTGAATTTTGGCTTTTTCTCCTCCTCTTGGCTGCTTTTCAAGATTTTCAGCGTCCTTTGCATTTATCTCTGGACTTTTTGCCTCACAATTCACTCACGTGGATCGCTGCAGTGGCTTTAAAAACCTCAGTCTCAATGCAACAACCCAACTCACTCGCTCTCTGCCGTCAAGTCAGAACCCGACTCCTGGCTGACCCTCCAGTGAGTGCTCAGAGGCTGTAAATCTCACAGGAGGGGGCTGCCAATCCTTCTCCCGCAGAGCGGCTGGTGGATTCGAACTGCCTGCCTTTAGGTTACCAGCACAGCTCCTTACCCACTTGGCCACCAGAGCTCCTCGCAGTACACCTGGCAGGCTCCCATTGAACAGGATGATCGGTGTGTAGCCTGAGCACCTCGTGGTGTGTGTTTAAGGTGCAGATTCCCGGCGAGCTCTGGTGGCCTAGTAGCAAGAAGCTGCACTGCAATCTCAGAGGTGCACAGTTCAAATCCACCAGATGCTCTGCTGGAGAAGGAGGAACCATCTCCTCCTGTACCAGTCAGATCTGATTTGACAGTACACACAAAAAGTAATGAAATAAAATTTAAAAAAATATGCAGATTCCCCTCCAGAGTCAAGTCAGCAGAAGTGGGGCGCCCTCAGGAATCTGTTTCAACACACACGGGCTGTTTAAAAAGCTCAAACTCATTGCTGTCGAGTGAGAACCAAGTCATAGCTGACCCATCAGCGGCTTTTCAGAGGCTTATCTTTCTTCCTCGGAGCAGCTGGTGGATTCGAGCCATGTGCCTTTGGGTTGGCAGTGCAGTCCCTTAACCCTAAGCCACCCCTCAGGCATCTGTCTAGCTTGACTCTTCCTCCTATAAAGTACCTTCTGAGAGGTTGCAGAGGTGTCTTGTTTAAAGCCCTGACACAGATGAGACATCCAGGGTGAGCTCCCCGTGTGGGCTTTGAGGAGGCAGCCCCCACTTGCCAGAGGACCTTTCTAAGCCACAGTGAACACTGGTGTGCGTCAGGACCCCTAACTCTACACTCAGCCACTTCAGAGCTCACCCTCGCCTTCCTCTCTCCCTGCAGATCCGAGAACAGAACCGGCAGGACGTGAAGTCGGCGGGACCCCAGTCCCAGCTCCTGGCGAGTGTCATTGCCACCAAAAGCCGAAGCCCGGTACAGCAGACGCCGCCCCTGTCTGCGGGGGACCCGTGCTTGCCTTCTGGGTCTGCACTGCCAGGGGCCGGGCAGCAGGACCCCTGAGTCCCCCTGCCCTCTTTCCTCGGTGCTCCTGTTGCAAAGCGGAGGTCCACCTCGCACAGGGCTGCGATGAGGACAAGGGACAGTGTCTCATCTTCCCCTTTGGGACGAGGCACGGCGGCAGCGGCCAGGCCTGTCCGTGGAGTGATGGCAGCTTCCATGCCCTCTTCCTCCAGGGAATCCTGCTTTGCTCTGTTTCGGTTTCCTGCAAAGCGGAGCCTCCCGGGGGGGCATGCTCTAAGGCTCATTGTGTTTGTGGCCTCTGTGCGTGTGAATGGCACCAGACTAGCTCTGGGAAGGTGCCCGTGCTGTTACAGGATAGAGGCCTGGGGCAGGGACTAGAGGGGCAGCGGCCCCCACAAACCTACATCGTTAGAAAGTAGAAAGCCATTGTTCTGTGCTTGGAGTAGAATAGTGTCTGGTGCTTAGCAAAAGGAGTGACGCTCGAGATCCTAGCTCGTGGTTGAAATCGTAGCTGCATGTGACTGTTGTTGTTGTTTGCCATACAGTTGGAACCGACTCCTAGCTTACCCTCCAGCAGGTTTTCAGAGGCTGTAAATTGTACAGGAAGAGACTGCCATCTTTCTCCTCTGGAGCAGCGGGTGGATTTGAACCGCATGCCTTTGGGCTCGCAGTACAACACCTCACCACTAAGCCACCAGAGCTCCAGATGGCTATGTTGATATGTCCTGTTGAGTCAGAACTGACTCCTAGCCAACCTTCAAAGGCTATAAATCACATGGGAGGAGACTGCCCTTCTTTCTCCCAGGGAGCAGCTAATGGATTTGAACTGCTAACCTTTGGATTGGCAGGTCCACTCCTTACCACTGAGGGCAAGAGCTCTGAAAACCACTGTAAGGCTTTGGGCTTGGTATTTTCTGTAGTGGGAGGAAAAGAGAGTGAAGGAGTGGCGTTCTCTGCGCAGCCATTTGAAGTGAGACTACTGTCCAGGAGGTGGTGGCCGTCTGCAAATGTATCACGGTGCCCCCTCAGCCCCACCAAGCTGGGGACAGCTGCCTGAGACACAAGGTCAAGAGTAGAAATAGCCATGAGACTGAATGTACGAACATGCTAAAAGCCACCCTGCGTGGACCCAACGCTGTCTTTGGGGTCCTTCTTGTTGGGATCCTGGTCTTCGGATGCGCCCTCTGAGCTCTGTGCAGCTACACTGGTAAGACCATAGCTCCCTTCCTTTTGGAAGGTATCCGTGAGCCCCTCATCTGCAGGGCTGGGGGGCACGGTGGGGGCCCAGTTGCACAGACCTGGTGGCCGGTGCTCAGCCTCAGAGCAGGGAGTTCTCAAAGGCTGAGAAGGTGCTAAATGGGGAGAAGGACCCAAGTCAGAATCTGCCCCTGACGAGAGAGGCCAGACAGTCCCCTGAAGCTTATAAAAGCCCCCGCTTCCCACGCCCCCCCTTCCTGCGAAGGTGGCCGTACGTCCTGTTGTCGCTGTCCACTCGGGCCTGCAGCAGGAGTGGGTGGGAAATCAGTTCAGGAGCTTTTGTCAAGTCGTGTCCCTGTGAGAGACAGGACCTACAGTTTGCACAGGGAACGCTGACGCCTCTGCTGTGTTTGCTTACGATTCCATGCTCTGTGCTGTGGCACTGCTGTTGGGGGTGGGCGGGGGCTTGAACCCGCGCTAATGCTTGCTTGACTCTGGCTGAGGACTGTATCTGCGTAGTGATTGACGGCTTGGACACATCCATAGAAAGGACTGTAATAAATGTGTGTCTCTCTTCTGCTTGGGAGCAACCTTTGGCTTTATTTCAAGGGCTGAAAGGGGACGGGGGAATCCCTGCTTTCACCCACACATTTGCCGAGCATCTGGGTCTAGGGGTGAGGTAGTGAGCAACCCCCACCCCGAGGCCCTGAGCTGTATCCAAGGAGCCGCGTGGCACACGGTCCCTAGCAAGCCCACCGAGCCACGTGGGTCTGGAAGGAGGCCAGGCGTGGGCCCTGCCCGCGGCCTTCCGAGAGCGACACCCCCCTGTGGTTAACTTTCAGTCTACAGAGAGCCAGCTGGTGGACGCAGATAGCAAAGAGGACTCGGAGGAGACGGTGCCCAACCCCTTCAGCCAACTCACCGACCAGGAGCTGGAGGAGTACAGGAAGGAGGTGGAGCGGAAGAAGCTGGAACTAGACGGTGAGTAAACCCCCATTCCTGTAGGACACTCCCAGGGTGGGGGGAACAGCGCAGGACACCCCCCAAAAGGGAGCAGCAGGTGAGGAGGTCACTGCCATCACCAGCAATTTTCAGTTGCTTCCTACGTGTGGGGGAATTGGACAGGGAATAAGACAGAAAAATCGATGCCATTGAATTGTGGTGGTGGAGAGGAGGGCTGAATACACCGTGGACTGCCAACAGAAAAAACAAGTCTCCTGAAGGAAGTGCTCCTTGGGGTCAAGGATGGGGACGCAGTCTTGGTTATTTTGGCCATGTTGTCAGGAAGAACACATCATCCTGGGAAAGGTGGGAGGTCAGAGAAAGAGAGGAAGACCCTCGTCGAGATGGATGGGCACGGTCACTGTGACCAGGGGCTCGGGCATGTCTGAGAGGGTGAGGACAGACAGGGCAAGGGTCAGCTCTGCCGCTCAGTGTCTCTGTGAGTAATAGCCACCTTGATGGCACCTTACGACAGCAGTCGTCTCCCTGGGGGACTTGAGGGAACAGTCTGAGCTCCACCGTCTGAGGACATGTGTGCCAGGGCGGTTTCAGGGTACCTGCGGTCCCCAGGTAATTGCTAATAGTGCTCCTTTCCCCGGTGGGTAGCTGGTAAAATGAGACGAAAGCGTGTGCAGGCTACTTACACAGCTACCCTTCTGAGCAGTAGCAGTAGGAACACCCTGGAAACAACATATGGTAGAAGATTTATAAAAATGTGGGGGGAAAAAATAAAAAGTTCTCCCAGAAACAAGGCCAGGCAGCAGTCAGTAATGGCCATTGTGTATAAGTACCTATGACTGAGGCCGACCGGCGTAGCTGTGGGTAGTGGGGCAGCGTGGCGTCCAGTGTTTAGTAAGAGTCTTTTTTCTTTTAATGGCTGGGTTTTCCCATTTGGTGTTTATTAATTAAAAAAAGAAAGTAGTCCATACAGAGTTGGATTGCTAAGGCAGATGGCCTCTCTGGTGGTCTGAATCTGTCAGTGTCGTCTTCAGGGGGGGAAAATCCCAGGAGGTTCAGACTTGATGGCAGTGAGCTGATTTATTGACGTGACAGATCCGCCTGGCTTTAGTCATTCTCCCTTCGTATCCCGCTCGCCTTGAAGAAAGCAAAGACATCATTTTGTTCTCATGCTCTTAACGTGTTGGGTTGCACAATCGGACGCTGCCCGCCCCAGCGGTCTGGTTGACCTGGTGCAGCGCGGCCAGCCATCGGCACAGTGATTCAGCCCCGTGTGGCTCTTCAGCTCGGATTCTTTGCCCCACTTCCTACCCTGGGCGTCCCCACCATACTGAAGGCCACTCTCCATCACCGCGTCAGGCCATCTCGTTGAAGACCTGCCTCTCTTTCACTGACCCTCAAGACTCAGGTCTGTTACTCATGAAATCGCTAAGAGGTGTAATCAATTTGGCTGCACCCAGCAGCACCCCTGGTTCTCCTTCCACCTACTGGGTGGGGGTGAATTAGTCTCCCCGTGACACCTGGGGCTCTCCCTCACCCACGCCCGTCTTGTCTTTGCTGTCTTCCCAGGCTCCTCCGGCCATTCAGTTCTCTCTCAAGGTTTCTCTCCTCCCTGCCCTCAGTCCTTCACCCCTCACAACTGGCTTTACACAGAGCCTCGTCTTTGGGACGGGGGTAGGGCTACTGCTGAATCCACCGTAAGTCTGAAAGTCTCGAGGGCTGTCCTGTTGAACATCCTGTGTAGCCGCTTCTTACCAGACACCCCAAACGCATCACCTCTTATCTAGGCACTGCCCTTGGGGCTCTTTCTAGACTTTTCTTGCATATATTAGCAGTTTTCACTTACCCAACTCTTTGCAAGGGACTCTTTCCCCAGGGACTCAAGGGGTAAAAACTCCATGGTCTCAGTGGTCAGACCCACGACAGTCAGGGGACAGTGCAGGGCCGGTTCTGCTGGGTGTGGGATCACCATTAGCAAAAAGCAAATGCTACAGCAGCTGAAACTACCACCCTGCACAGCCAGCAAGTTCACAGTCAACCCGGAGAGCTGGTGACCGAAGGGGAAAAGGCAATTGAAGAAATGGTCTCTCCATTGAAAGACAATAAAGAACTAGGGAGGCACTAACACAACACAGGTGAATCTGGAGGTCCGTATGCTGAGTGAAATAAGTGAGGGGTGAAAGGATAAATATTAACTTTTTAAAAATGGATTTGCATACAATAATACGTATACATTGTGTTTTATATATTATTAATTACTGTTTATATATGCCTGTAAAAACGAAGGGTGGGTTGACAGAGGTCTGTGGTGGGATTGCCATTCCCACCATGTTCAGTCTTCCCATCCATCAATGGGGACTAGTTTTCTATTAGACTAGGTCTTTTATGTCTCTGCTTTTGATGTGTGCCAGCCAGTACCTCCAGAAGGTTTTCAGAGGCTGTAAAACACACCCATCTTTCTCCCAGAACTCTGTTTCTTTGGGATCACAGCACAGCTGCTTATCACTGGACCACCAGAGCTCCCTTTTAGGTCTCTGGTTTATTCCAAAGTATATAATCCTGTGGTTGTAAATAGTGTTACTTCTACTGTTTACCTTTCTGCATATTCTTTATTTTGTAGAGAAATCCAACTGACTTTTACATGTTAATCTTGTATAATGCCACTCTGCTCAATTAGTCTACTAACAATTTTTTGTTGAGTTTTTAGAGTTTTCTATGTATGTTATCATATCATCTGCATATAGGGATAGTTTTACTTCCTCTTTGAAAATCTGGATGCCTCTTATTTCCGTCTCTTGCCTGATTGCCCTAGCTAGGAATTCCAGTACAATATTGAATAGATGTGATTGTGGAAATTTATACCTCATCCCTGTTCCCAAGAGAAAACCCGTCAGTTTCTCTGAGAATGATGTTGGCTCTTGGTTTTGTGTATATTCTTTTTATTTAATTGGTTTTCCTAAGCATTCATATGTTTCTTTCATTTACATTGTGTTTTACACAATTCTAAGCATTGTGTCTTACATAATCAGATACTATTTATTGATCTATTATTTCATTGATGTCATCCTCTAATTCATATGGCCTTCAATTTTTAGGGTTCAAAGCTTCAAGCCTATTCTGGAGACGATTTCTAAATTCAGGTGGGATAGACTTGAGGTTGGGTTTTGGTTCTTGTGGACTTGTTTCATTTTCTTCAGCTTGAACTTGCACAAGAGTAACTGATGGTCTGTTCAACAGTCAGCAACTGGCCTAGTGTTTACTGTTGAAATTGAGTGTGTGCAGCAATTCTCTTCACAGCTGTAGTCAGTCTGATTCCTGTGAGGTTCATGTGTACAGATACCTTTTGTGGTGTGTTTTAAAAAAAAAATCATTTACCTAAAACTGAAAAGATTGGGGCTCATTGGTTTACCTGATTGCTTCCAGAATGTCTGTTTCAAGGCTGCATTGGTTCTAGGGCGTCTGCTTCAAAGCCTGGTTGCTAAAGGAATGTAGGTTTCAAGGCTGTGTCGGGGCTGTCTTCTTCAGCTCTAGTTATTTCAAGGAAGTCTGTATGACGCTGCCTTGGGTCGGAGAGGTTTCCTTCAAAGCCTAGTTGAATCTAAAATGTCTGTCTCAGGACCACATTAAATCTGGCATGTCTGCTTCGAAGCCTAAAACAGAAAGAAAGGAAGGACTCCACAGCCTGCCTTGTTGCTTCTGGGATGTCTTCCTCAAAGCCGAGTCAGGGACTCAGTGATTTACCTCATTGCTTCTAGAATGTCCTAGTTTCCTCTGGGAGATCTGCTTCAAAGCCTAAAAACAAAAGGTAGGGACTCAGTGGTCTACCTGGATGCTTCTGGGATAGCCTCTGCAAGTCATGGTCCTTAAAAGATGTCTGTTTCAAGCTGCGTTGAGTCAGAGCTGTTTCCTTCAGAGCCTGGTTGCTCCTGAAAGTCTGATTCAAGGCCGCCCTGAGTCTGGGATGTCCTCTTCAAACCCTGAAGTTGAAGGACAGGAAGTTGATGGTCTGCCTCCTTGCTTCTAGATTGCCTATTTCAGGGTTGTGTCTGGTCTACAATTTGTCAACCCCACAACCCAAGGACAGGGGCTCGATGTCCTGACTTTTTTCATCTCCGATATCTCCTCAGACATAACTGATCCAAGGCCCCTTTGGGTCTGGGCTGTGGGCTTTAAACGTAAAACCAAAGCACAGGCTTGAGGTTTATGCCGGCTTGCTTCCAGCATGCCTGTTTCGAGGATGCATTGCTCCTGGGATGTCTGCTTGACAGCCTAAAAGGTCCAGGACTTGATGTTCTACCTGGTTGCTCCTGATTGTTTGGTTCTAGGTTGTCTGTTTCAAGGTTGTATTCTGTCTTGAACATCTGTTTCAAAGCCAAAAACTGAAAGGAGGCACACATTTTACCTGGTAGCTTCTAAAGTGTCTTTCAATGCTGCATCTGTTCTGGGATGTGTCCTTCAAAGCCAAAAACCAAAGCACAAGAACTTGGGGGCATACCTGGTTCCTTGCAGGATGTCTGTTTCAGAGTCTAAAACCAAAGGGCTAGGACTCAGTGGCCTATCTGGTTGCTTCCAGAATGTCTGTTTCAGGACTGCACTGGGTCTCTGATGTCTTCTTCAAAGCCTAATACAGAAGGGCAGGGACTCGTTGGTTTATTTGCTCACTTCCATAATGTCGGTTTCAAAGCTGCATTAGTTCTGAGATGCGAGATCCAGGGTATGTTGTGTCTGGGATATCTGCTTCAAACCTAAAACCAAAGGATGGGACTCTGGCCTTCCACATCTCTGAATCAAGGCCGTTTTAGGTCTGGGATGCGGGTCTTAAAACTAAAAGCAAAGTGCAGGATGGGGTGGTTTACCTGCTTGCTTCTGGGACATCTACTTCAAAGCCTCAAACAGATAGTCAGGGAATCATGAGTTTACCTGGTTGTTTCCAGGAAGTCTGTTTCCATGCTCCATTAGTTCCAGGGTGTCTGATTTAAAAGACCGTTTGCTTCTGGAATGTCTGTTCCAAGGCCACTTTGAGTTTGGGACATCTGCTTCACATCTCAGGACATCAGGGACACGATGTCAAAGCAGCGCTTCAACGGGGATACCTTCTTCCAGACTTGGCTACTTCTGCGACTCTTGTTTCAAGGCTGTGTTGTGTCTGGCAGGAACTCGTTGGTTTGCCTGGCTGCTTCCATAATGTCTCTTTCAAAGGTGCCTTAGCGCGGAGATGTCTACTTCAAAGTCGGCTTACATCTGGGATGTCTCCATCCAAGCCTGGTTGCCTCTGGGATATTTGTTTCAAGGCCACATTGGGTCTAGGATGTCTGGTTCAAAATCTAAAACTAATTGCCAGACTTAATGGTGTACCACATTGATTCTGGAATGTCTTGAAAGCCTAAAGCCAAATGGCAGGAACTTGATGTCTTACTTGGTTGCTACCAGAATGTTTCCATGCTGTCTTAGTGTTGGGAGGTCTGCGTCAAAGCTCCGTGACTTCTTGGGTAGGTTGCAAGGCTGTGTTGGATCTGGGATGTCTCCTTCAAAGCCTAAAACTGAAGTGTATGGGTGTGATGGCCTACCTGGTTGCTTCTGGGGTGTCTTTCAGCGCCACATTGGGCCTGGGATATTTTTTCAAAGCCTAGTTGCTTCCGGGATGTCTGGCTCAACTCACTTTAGGTCTGGGATGTGGGCTTTAAATCTAACACTGAAAAGCAAGGACTTGATGATTTACCTGCTTGCTTCCAGAATATCTGTTTTGAGAATTCATTGTTTGAGGGATGTCAGCTTCAAACTTAACACCGAGAGAAGACTCCCCGTTCTACCTGGATACAGCTGGATGTCTGCTTCAAGGCCATGTTTAGTCTGGGATGTTTGTGTCAAACCTAAATGCAGAGGGCTGGGAATTCATGGTCTACTGTGTCACTTCTGGGATGTCTGCTTCAAAGGCTGGATGCTTCTCACTGTCTCAGACCTGTATTGGATCTCAGAGGCCTGCATCAAAGCCTAAAACAGAGACTCCAGGGTCTACCTGACAGCTTCTATGATGCCTGTGCTTCAAGCCTAAAAGCACAGTGGAGAGACTTGATAATTTACCTGGCTGCTTCCTGAATGTCTGCTTCAAAGTCTGATTACCTCTTGGATGTCAGATTCAAGGCCATGTTGGACCTACTATGTTTCAAAGCCTAACACCAAAGCGCCTATCTGTATGGCCTACCTGATTGCTGCTGGGAGCGCTGTCTCAAAGCCATGTTTAGACTGGGTTGTCTCCATCACCTAGTTACATCCAGAGTATCTGTTTCAGGGCTGCACTTGGTCTGTGAAGTCTGCTTCAAAACCTAAAACCAAAGCATAGGAACTCAGGGTTTATCAGGCTGCTTCCAAAATGTCTGTTTCAAGGCTGCATTAGACCCGGCATGTCTGCCTCAAAGCCTTATATCGTTCAATAATCTACCTGGTTTCTTCTAGGATGTCTCCTTCAAAGCCTGCTTGCTTCTGAGATGTCCATGTGAAGGCCTTCTTGGGTCCGGATTTCTGCTTCAGACCCTATAACCAAAGGACAGGAAATTGATGTTTATGTGGTTACTTCAGGAATGTCTTTGTCACAATTGCTTGGGTCTCGGATGTCTCTTGCAAGACTTCATTGGGAGAAATCGTGGTTCCTTCTGAGATGTTGTTACAAAGCCTAAAACCAAAGGGCATGTGAGATGTCTGTGACAGGCCGCTTTAGCTCTAGAAGTGAGCTTCCAATCACAAACCAAAAAACAAGCACTCAGGGGCCTGCCTGTTTGCTTCTAGGATGTCACCTTCAAAGCCTAAACCAAAGGTCAGGGACGCATTTTACCTGGTTATTTCTGGATTATCTGTTTCAAGGCCACAATTTTGTGGGGAGATCTGCTTCAAAGCCTAAAACTGAAGACTGCATATACCTGACCTCGTTTCTGCCAGAATATCTGTTTCTAGAATGCTTTGGTTCTGAGGTGTCTGCTTCAAAGTCTGCTTGGCTTCTTGGATGTCTGTTTCAAGGCCACAGACTCAATGTTTTACCTGATTGTGTTCATAATGTCTGTTTCAATGCTGCATTCATAGTACATTTGCACATCTGTTCACATCATAGACTCAGAGTTCTAAATGTGTTCCTGTTACATGGGGTTCTTAGTGCGTGTGTGAGGCAGCTTCTGTTGTGTCTGTGGAAGTAAATGTCAGTTCCTTATCTTTATGAGCCTGTTGAAAAGGTTGCGTATTTTAAGAGCTATCTATCCAAACACACACACTGAATATAGTTTGCTTGCCTTCTGGTCCTTCATAGGCAGCAGGAAGATGGAGTCTCATTCTGTGTGGCTGTGGACCAGCAGTGACAGGCCTGCTCCTCTTGGGTCCATTAAAGCAGAAGTCCAAAGTCTCAGGAGTGGTCTTCACTGGATCCAGGACACCCTTTCAGTTCCACTAAAAAAAAAAAAAAAAACAACACTAAAAATTACTAATTTTTAGTGTTTTTTCATTCAGAACTCCCTGTCTACCCACATGCCCTCCAGTTGTGTCCTATCCTGAGATGGTCTTCTATATTTTCAGGAGAGAAAGACGTCTCCACAGAAGGGCCTGCCTCTCCCGTGAAGTCCGCACCTTCTTCTCCAGTACAGAGTCCAGCAAAGTCAGAGACAAAGAGCCCCGTGGTGTCTCCATCCAAGACTTCAGAAGGTGCGTCAGCCGAGCAGGTCAGGACGGAGGTGTCTGTGGGTAAAGCAGGGCAGGTGTGCACCCTGCACGTACCCCACCTTTAAGCAGGTGTTATCTCCAACCAGAAACACTTTCCCTTGAGCCATTCCTGGGGAGCCGGAAATAGAGGTTCCCCAAGGTAAGCTTGTTTTGTTCACAGTCTCTGGCGGCACCTTATAAGTTAGGCCCAGTCCAGGTCAATGGTTAGTCTACAGCCTCCCACCTTTACCTCGGATCTTGCTGGCAGATGCACCTTTCTAGATGAGGCTCAGGTGTGAGACTTTGGTGTGCATGGGGAGCACCTGGGGAACCCAGATAACATGTAGACTCAGATCAGGAGACCTGGGATTCAGCTTTTGCAACAGACTTCCTTCCAGGGTTGGCTGATGGTGGGTGGCCAAGGTCCAGAAGCATCACTAGGGGCTTTAAGAACTGCTGCCCGGACTCCTCTCACCCCCAGGGCAGTCTCCTCAGTTAAAAGATCTGAGGCTGGAGGCGGTGAAGGTGGAGAGGTATGGCGTGTATTCTTCACACCTCTCCAGCAGAATCCAGTCGTCCCCGTTAGAGGCTAGTTTAGAGCCCTGGGTTCTACACCCAATCCAGCTGCTCATATCAGCACATCACTGGGCCTTTCTGTGCCTCGGTTCCTTTGTCTGTGAAATGGGCCAACTCACAGGTACTTTCTCATAAGGTGGATATATAAGAGAAACTGGAGATAAAAACTTTCTGTGAGTAAAATGTGTAATATATTGTAAGAGCTGATTGTGGTGATGGTTAACAACACAACCATATGGAAGGTAGTAATGCCATTGTAACTCATAACCCCCTAGATCATAAAAGTGTTTTAAATAAGATCCAGGAACCACCCCCAGCTATAAAGGCTGTGCTCTTGGGCCCCTGGGGAGGGCCGTACCACCATGCTGAGAACAGCCCTTCAGTGGCCTGCCCCCCTCATCTCCCAGGAAGAGTGACCACATATGTGGATCCTGGTGGACTCTCCCAGCCTGGAGCTCCTCCATAACCCAAATGCTGCCTTGAGGTCAGGCGCAGCCTTGCCAGAGGAAACCGATCTGCTTGGGGCCAGCACCCCAAGTGGATGTGCTTACCGTGTGTGCTCACTGTGTCTCATCGTGGTGTCGATGTGTCTCCACAACGTCTTCCTTTCTCTCCCCACTTGTGCCTGCATCAAAGGAGTTTCCTCCGATTCTGAGTACTTGTCTCTGTAGTAAGTATAGAGAGGCCGTTTACTAACTCCCTCCAGCCCTGGCAATGGGGGGAGGTTGGTCTTTTTTCCCAAAGAAATAGATTTTTCCTCATTTTGGTTTGTTTTGGGGTTTTGTGTTTTTTTTTCCTTTTGCAACTCACAACCCTGCCTTTGGGAGGACTCCTGGCTGTAAGATTCTCCACCCATCCCATATGTGCTATGCATGGACACGGCTTCCCTCTGGAGGGCAAGAGTACACACACACACACAGACACACACAACCACAGGCACACCCAGTAACAAGTTCCTGTAGTGAACAGCAGAGGACTGATTCCAGAGCTCTTCTTAAAGGGGGGGGGCGTAAGACCCTCAGGAGCACCCCCCTCCATCTTTATTCCTAAGCTGTGGGTACCTAGAGGAGCCCTGACCTCTTCTCAGGGCTCTGGTCTTGGGGAGCTTGACTTCGCTGGAACACTGGGATGCCCAGCGACCTCTCTCTTCTTGTCATAGAGTCTCCCCACATGTATTTCTATCAAGAGAGCAGGGCTGGCTTCAGCAAATGGTGCTAGAAAAACTGAACTTTCCCCTGCAAAAAGCTACAGGAAGATCTCCATCATGCATCAAAAAAAAAAGTCAACTCAAGGTGGATCAGAGACCTAGAGGCAAAATAGGAGCAAACTTAGAAAGCCTGGCCTGTAAAGAAACATAGTCAGGAATGTACAACCAGGAGAGGGTAACATTGATGAATGGGATCTTCTAACTTTAGTCCCCAGGTACATCAAAAACTTTTTCCAATAGAGTAAAAAAGAAAACCTACTGACTGGAAAAAATTCGTTTGGCAATGACATCTCAGACTTGGAGCTCCACAAGAAAAAGGAGAATAACCCAGTCACAAAATGCAAAAGATTTCACAGAGGAAGATATTCAGATGGCCAACAGACCCATGAAGCGATGCAAATCAAAACCACCATGAGATATCATCTCACCCCCAATTGCAATAGCAAAATGTAACAAAACAGTAAGCAATAAATGTTGGAGAGGATGTGGAGATACTGGAACTCTCATCCATTGTTGGTGGCACTGTAAATGGTACAAACCGCTCTGGAAGGCAGTTTGGTGTTTCTTCAAAAAGCTGAGCATAGAAAGTTCATATGATCCAGCTATGCCACTGCTGAGAAAATTAGAACCGAGGTACAGGTTTGTCCACTGATGTACACAGCACTCACGGTAGCAAGAACATGGAAACAGCCCAAATGTCCATCAACAACCGACGGGATTGAGAAATTGTGGTACATTCACATGATGGAATACTATGCAGCACTCAGGAGCAAAAATTTTGAAAAGCATATAGGATAGAAAGCGTTATGCTGAGTGAACTAACTCAGACTCATAAGGACAAATACTGCATAAGACCATTATTGTAAAAGCAGAAGAACTAGTAGGATGTGTATGGATGTCTGAAGGGGAGGGGACAGGGAAAGCTATGTTCACCCTAGCTCTGTCTTAATGAGACAATGTTCTTCAATTAAGAATTCTGCAGTGTATTCAAGAGAAATAAACTACGGCATTGAAATTAAGAGAGCAGGAGCAAACACATTAAAAAAATAATAATAAACTACTTAATGTCTTGGTAGCATCAGGATGGATGGCGAAGAGATTGAGATTGTTCACAGCTTCCGTTTTCTCGGCTCCACGGTCAACACTCTTGGCACCAGCAGCCAGGAAATCAAAAAACGTATTGCGATGGTAAAGTCTGCGGTTAGGGACCTCTCAAAAGTACTCAAGAGCAACGGTGTCTCGCTGGAGAAGAGTATTGAATGTACCATGGACTGCCAAGAAAACAAACAGATTCATCCAGGAGAGGGTTAAACCAAGCTACTCTTTGGAGGCAAGGATTCTGGGGCTTCGTCTGACATACTTTGGACATGTTGCAAGGAGGGACAGGTTCTTGGAGAGGGACATCATGCTTGGGAGGGTGGAGGGCAGGCGCAGGAGGGGAAGACCCTCTATGAGGTGGATTGATTCAGTGACTGGGGTAATCGGGATGGGTGTGTCAGAGGCAGTGCAATTGGCACAGGAGAGAGCAGGGTTTTAGGCTGTTGTACGTAGGGTCGCTATGAGTCGCAAATGACTCGACGGCACATAACAACTACTACTCAATCTAATCCCACATCCTCTAGAAGGAAGGAAATTATACAGATAAAGGCAGAAATAAATGGAATCGAAAACAGAAAAACAATTTAAATGATCAACAAGACTAGGAGCTGGTTTTTGGAAAGGGTCAATACATTAGATAAACTGCTGGCAAACTTTGCAGAAGGCCTGCTGGCTCACCAGTGCTCATCCCCCAGGGAAGCCACGAGGCCGAGTCTCTGGTCAGGTTTCTGAATCCTTCCTGTACCTTGGGAAGAAACAGGTCTCAATCTCACACCTGTCACAGATGTTTAAAACAAAAAGTGGAAGGGAGCTCTGGTGAGATGCTGCACTGCAATCCCAGAGGTACGCCGTTCAAATCCACCATATGCTCTGCTGGAGAAGGAGGGGGCAATCTCCTGTACCAGTCAGATCTGATTTGATGGTACACATAATACAATAAAATTTTTTTTTAAAAAAAGTAGAACAAGAGACTAACAGCTAAAAAACAAACCCCAAAACAGCCCAGCTTGTTGCTATCAAGTCAGAACCGACTCACTTCCAAGGCTGTAAATCACGCAGGAGGAGGTGGCCATTCTCTCCCATGCAGCTGCTGGTGGCTTCGAACCACCAGAGAGGTCCCTTGGAAGATGAGGAATCTGGATGAGCCAACAACATGCAAAAGAAGTATCACTGCACCAGCTTCAGGCCCACAAAGGCCTGGGGAGGTCTACTTTGATCATGCAAGACACCCCACGTCAAGCCCTGCTCTTGGATTTGCAATGCCTTAGCTCTCAGAGGTTTTGTTCTATTGTATTTTCATTTTCACTCATTTGAGAAATTTTTATTTCTTCTCTAATTCAGCTCAGGTGTTACTCACCTTCCACATGAGTATACTTTATCCACTTGTTGCTAAGTTTTAGTTTTGTGGCACTGTGATGTAAGAAGATAAATTCAAAAGCATTGAAATAATAGAAAATATCAAGGCTTGCTTTGTGCCCTAATATGTGGTCACTTTCAGAGAATGTACCGTGTGCACTGGAGAAGGTGAATTTTACTTGAGTGGTGTACTCCCCTCTAGGAGATAAAGGCAATTCCCAATTTTCTTTGGAAAACAAAAACTAAAAAAAATTTAAAAATAGTAGACATCACACTCAAAACCCAGCCTTAGTAATTAAAGCAGCATGGTATAGGCCAACAGCATAGAATCAAGGACCCAGGAAACCGAAACAAGATCCACACTTCATATCAACCACAAAAACCAACTCACAGTGCATCAGGGACCTACCACTAAAATAATAAACCATAAGGAACATCAGAAAATACGAATACATTTAGAAACCCTAGTCTATGGCATGAATAAGTTTTCAAACAGAGCCAAAAGCACAAAACCAGGAGAGGATAAAAATCAGTTAATGGGACTCCCTAAAAAAAAAATCAATTTTGTGCAACAAAAAATATTTCCTATATAGTGAAAAGAAAGCCTGTGGACTGGGGAGGGAAAGTATTTGATGATAGTATTTCTGAAAAAGGACTCCTAACTAAAACTTACTGAATCCTACAATACCTCAACTAGGAGAAAATCCCACCCTGATAAGTCAGTCATAAAATGGGAAAAACACATGAAAAGACTCTTCACCAAGGATGACAGTCAACTGGCCAACAAGTCCATGAGGAAATGCCCCGAATCACTAGCGACTGTTGTCATTATGTGCTTTAACAATCCTAAGAACAAGGGCTCTGAACCTGCCCTATCCGGAGCCAACCTCACCGTCTGACACACCTGACATCATTTTCCACAGTCAATCGTCAGTCCATCAGTCCAGGGTCTTCCAAGTGTGATGTCCTTCACTGAGGACACTTCCTCCTAGCAACATCCCCAAAGTATTTGAGATGGGCCATTTAAAATCCTTGCTTCAAGGAACAACTAGCAATTGTTGTTGTTATGTGCCGTTGAGTCGCTTGCGACTCATAGCGACCCTATGTACAACAGCCCTAAACCCTGTTCTATCCTGTGCCAATTGCACTGTCTCTGACAGTCCCATCCCGATTACCCCAGTCACTGAATCAATTCACCTCATAGAGGGCCTTCCCCTCCTGCGCTGTCCCTCCACCCTCCCAAGCATGATGTCCCTCTCCAAGGACCGGTCTCTCCTCACAACATGTAACTAGCAATTAGAGAGATTCAAAACGATGAGATTCCATCTCACTTCAGCAGCAAGAGCAAAGTTTAAACAGGACAGCAAACAATAAATGTTGACAAGGATACAGAGATTGGCAATCTCATGCTGGTGGAATGTAAAGTGATACAGTCACTGTGAAGGCGGTTTTGTGTTTAATCAGATTAATACAGAAATCCCATAGAAACCAGCTAATCCACCACTAGGAATACACTGCCAGGAAATCAGAGCTGAGACACAAACGTGTGTACACCTATGCTCATCGCAGCATTTTTCACAATAGCAAGAAATTGGAGACAGCCCAAATACCCCTCAGCAAATGGACAGTTGGAGAAATTGTGGTACATTCACACTAGGCAGCATTGAAAAACAAGGAAGAACTCGTAAAACACTACACAACCTAGACAGGTCTAGAGAACATTATGCTGAGTGAAATAGTTGCAAAAGGAAAACTACTGTATAAAACAGTATGCATCAGAGAGCTTGGTCAGTGACTAAGGATGACAGAAGAATTGATATCTTTGAGCTGTGGTGCTGGAGAAGAGTGTTGAACATACCATGAACCACCAAGAGAACAAATAGGTCTGTGTTGAAGAAGATGAAACCAAGTTTCTCCTTGGCGGCTAGGAGTTTGGAGCTCCGTCTCACATATTTTGGGCACAAGGCCAGGAGGGGCCAGTCCTTGGAGAAGGACATCATGCGTGCAAGGGTGGAGGGACAGTGCAGGAGAGGAAGACCGTTGATGAGATGGATTGACTGGGGCAATAGGGGAAGGTGTGTCAGAGTCAGTGAGACTGGTTCAGGATAAAGCAGAATTCAGAGCTATTGTCGCTGTGAGTCACAGACAACTCGATGGCACATAACTGTATATAAAACTGGGGAAGTGCAGGACACCAGAATGTGCAGACAGTGAGCCATGGAAAGGGTCAGGAGAAGGGGGCATCGACCCGGAAAGAATGAACTCAAGGACAGTATGGGTATTGAAAGTAGCGGCTTGGAACCGGATATGTGTTACTATTCGAGGATGGGGAGAGGCAGAGGGGTGAACACTAGGGCAGCAGAGATTAGCGGAAGGGAGGGTGGGGTGAAGGACCAGGCGAGGGACAGTGAGGATTTGAGGAGACAACATATATGACTGACCGAATGAAAAGCTACTTTAACCCGTTTCTAAGCCCTCTGGGAAAGGTCCCTTACTGACTTGCCTCCGTCTGCTTTTGAAGCTTTCCTGGACATCCCCCCCCCCCCCCGTCACCAGCCATCTTCTCAGTCTTTACCCCTCTCACAAACCCTAGCTTTTCCCTAAAACGTGTTTCTTTGCCAGTTTCTTCTCTGTTCACCTCCTTTACCTTCCCCCCTTGCTCATACTCCGCGGGCGGAGTGGACAGGGTTCTGGTGTGGACTCAGACACACACACGCATACCCTCACCTCCGTTTCCTGTAGGAAAAAGCGCACTGGGCCAGCAGGTTGACACCAGGCCCCCCATTTTCTTAAGATCTGCAGACATGGGGAGGTGGGGAACTGGGTCCCCATCTACTTCTCAAAGTCCATGATTTCCCCCTCGCCCTCCCTCTCCACATAGGAACACGCATGGGCCGTGGGGAGCGGGGGAGCCACAGGGCAGCGAGTGACGTCTCATCCAGGGCTGAGCGGCGAGGCCTTGTGTGTGGTGGCATGAAGACCAGGGCCTCGGGGGCCACTGGAACAGGCCCACTGAGGGCAATCGCACGTCACTCGGGGATCCCCACCCCCACCCCAGCTCTCCCTGCCTGCTGGGAAGACCCTCTCCAAACCTCTAGAAGTTCTCCCGCCTCTCAGATGTGAATGGCTCGGAAATGTGTCCTGGCTGTTTACCTGCCGGTGAAATGGAGCCAGTTAGGACAGCTGTGTCGGGAGCCACTCACTGTCTGTCCGTCCACTGCTCTTCCCACCCACAGCCTCTCTCCTCCTGAGCAAACCCTGTCATGCCCACACATCAGTATCTGCTTCAATTGGTCCCCCAAACCCCATTATTATCGGCATGTCAAAGGCTCGTTCCAGGTGAGGCCATGAGGAAGGGGCAGCAGGTCTGGGGGAGCAGAGTGGGGCTCAGAACCGGCTCGGCCCACGCCAGCCTTCCTTTCCCCTTGCTCCAAACATGTTCTAGATGTTTCTAAACCTGGTTCTGTTAGCCACAGGTGGCAACTCTCACCCTAACACAGCCTTATGGAGTCTTTCTCCTTTTCTAGAAGGTGCTAAGAAGACAGAAAGCAGCCAGCCCCCTCCTGAGCCAACCCAGACCGAGGAGGTGGTGGTCAACGGCAGGGAGGACGAGCCGCTGGCAGAGGACGTGCTCAGCAAGGCCTTGAGCCAGATGACCACGGACGGCGACCCCGCCAAGGACAAGACCGAGTCGGTCACCAGTGGGCCCATGTCCCCTGAGGGCTCCCCCTCCAAGTCTCCCTCCAAGAAGAAGAAGAAATTCCGCACCCCGTCCTTCCTGAAAAAGAGCAAAAAGAAGGAGAAGGTGGAATCCTGATTCCCAGCGTCCACCGGCTCCCCTCTGTCCCCTCCGTCCTCCCTCCCCTTCCCCTGCCTCTGTCCTGGGAGCACAGGGCCAGGCGGGGTGAAACAGGAACCCTGGCCACTCTGAGGGGCACTTAGCGTTCACCTTGCCAACCCCTCATTGTACAGTTGCCCCAAAGAAATCCGGTGACATGCCCAAGGTCACACAGCTGGTTGGCCACAGACCCCGGGCTGGGATTTGGGCCTCGGGCTCCAGCCTAGGGTCCTTGCACTTCTCTACACTGCCGGGCTGTGGGCTGCCTTTGTGACCATGGCCCACCCATCTGAGCCCAGGACACGAAGGCCAGAGAGGCGTCACAAGCCACCACGGGCTCCAACACGGAGAGGTTGGTCTTTCTCTTGAGCCAAATCCTCTTTCTTTAAGACCCCCCCCCAGTCTCTCGCTGACAAGGAGCCCACCACCTTTTGAGTCTGTCTGCACTCTTCTCTCTGCCCTGCCCACCCAGAGTCCCACACAAATTGACCCCCACCACAGAAGTTAATCTTTGCTCCCCAAGAGCTGATGGCTTAGCTTGGACTTCCCCAGCCACCGCCCCAAGCTTCCTTCATGGAACCCCTTGAGTGACAAGTAGAAGAATTCTGAGTGGGCAGAGCTAGAGAAGGCCACACAGACAGGATGCAGGATGGCTCAGTGAGGTGCCAGGAACGTGGCCGTGCAAACTGTGCGTCTCAGACACTTCAAAACAAACCCCAGAGTTAGCCGAGAGGGGAGAGAAGAGTTGTCTTACACAGAGGGCATAGGTCTGGGGAGATCTGGAGTCTGTTGGCTTGAGGTTGTCCAAGGGCATCCGAACGAAAGGAAGCCACAGCGTTCTAGCATGACACACGGGCAGTGTGGCTGTCCACACCTTGGTCCTGTCCGACAGCCCTTCTGGACTTGACCTTGGCTCCTGCAGGGATGAGGATAACGTTTACTCGGGGTCCTGTAGAGGACTATCAGAGATGAACCCTTCGGCATTAACCTTTTTAGACCAGCTTTCAGAGAAAATCTTGGGGTTCCGTGGCGCTTCCACCCTCGGTCCATTCAGGGCCCAGGAAGAGCCATAGTTTGGGTCTGAAGTGCCGACCTCGTCTTCCCGTGCTGCTCCACAGGGTCTGTCCGCTCCTCAAAATGAGACAATCCCTTCTCTTTAAAGCACAGTGTCGTCAAAGAATATTTTTTGCCCTTTTGTGCTGAGTGTTGTGAGAGTATTTTTGAAAGCTCTTAATCATAGTTGTCCGTGTTCGAAACATTGACTACATGTAGGCACTGTGCAGGCTGTAAAAGTGGGGTACCTCCACACCCCAAGAACACTGTGAGGTGGAGACAGTCATTCCCAGAAACTGAGCCTCTGAAAGGATCACTGACTTGGGTTACAGGTGCCAGAACTTGGATTTGAACCCAGGTCGGAACGAGTTCAGAGGTTTTAATGGTGATTGGAAAACTTCAGTCCCTAAGGGTTTTGATTGAAAACCCACTTCTGTGATTGGTTTCCACGATGACAGCGTTTAAATGAAGGTTGGATGTGTTGTTCTCCCGTGTCCATTAAGGTCCTGGGCGGGCGGCCGTGGTGGTACCAGTAAGGGCCTTGGTGGCACTGGGGCTGGACGCACCACATGTAGCTGAGGAGAGAAATGGTCATGTGTTGAAGAGACATCCAGTTCTCTCCCAGCACAACCTCCTGTCTACTGCCCTAGGCCCGTCCTCTGTCTCACCTCTGATGGGACAGCGCCATGGTCAGGAAGACGCCTCCGACAAGCCTGTGGTGTGGGAAATGCCTTTAAACGCCAAACCGTGATGCCTTCTTCAGGAGACAGAAGGTCTTTCCTCCGTGTTCACTCAGCCTCCCTCAGTGTGTGTGAAACATCCACAAGGGTCAGGCGTCGTGCTGACAGAAGCATTGGTGACTAGTCTAGGAAGTGCAGACGGTGTTGTGGACGTGTGCTGGGGACCCAGCTCCCGTGCTTGAGAAGTGACGTGATCGGCTCTTGTGTTCTCTGTTCCCTCCCCAGCAGTGAGGCCTCGTGCCAGTAAAGGTGCCGAGCATCGTCTTTGGAATTTATGTCCGGGGTCCATCGCATCTTGAGGAGTTTGTTTTCTGCTCACGCTTTCAAAAGGCATGTGTTGGCCTTGGCCGGTGGGCAGCTGGGCCCCAGCTCCGATCCTCCAGAAGTTCGTGTAGACAAATCACAAACCAGTGGGTAGCTGTCAGAGGAGCCAGGGAACTCGGCCTGAAAGCAGTGGCATTGCCAGGGCACAACGCGGAGGGCAGCCTGGTGTGGAGGGCAGCCTGGCGTGGAAGGCAGGGCCTGGTTTGCTTCCTGGGTGCACAGACTGGATCATGACTGCGTGTGAAGCGTCGGGGAGCTGGGCTTTCTCACGTGAAAGGCTTGGAGTTGTAGACAGCTTAAGTTCACGCTGCTTGTGAATTGTTGCATTTGAGGAAAATCTCCTCGGTGGTTGACTGGAGCACAGATGCAGCGGGGCCAGGCAGGGTTGGAGTCTTGGGCTTGTCCTGAGAAAGAAGCCTTTCTGAGTCGCCAGCATTGGAGTTTCAAGGGCCTGCCTTACGTGACATTTTATTTCAAAGCAACCAGTGGCCATCCAGATTTATGTCCTTAAAATTCTTTGGCTTACAAAAAAAAACCCATTATTTGGCTTACTTACAATCAGGAGAGGATAAAATAGATGCAAGGAACCTTCTAAGAACCAAATCCCTATGAACATCCAAAAACTTCAACAGGGTAAAAAGGGAAGCCACAGACTGACGGAAGACATTTGGTAATGACATGTCAGATAAGGGACTTATATACTTGAGCACCACAACAAAGTTCTTTGGCTCAAGCCTCTTTGTGATGTTTGGCCCTGAGGGGGGAAATAGGCAGAGTCTGTGTGCCGTGCAGTTTCTGGTTCTGTATTGTCCTGCTGTGGAGTTTTTGGGAGAGCTGTGGAATGATTCTAGAATTCGCTTCCTGTACTTACAGATGTGGTATGTGTAACTAACTTAGAATGAGCCACTAATGGTCATTTCTAGGACGTTCTGGTGGCCTAGTGGGTAGGGACCCAAAGGCCGTGTCTCTCTGGCGGTTCAAATCCACCGCCTGCCCTATGGGAGAAGGAGGGGCAGGCTCCTCCCGTGTGATTTACAGCCTCTGCGAACCCGCCGCAGGGCCAGCTCCGACCTGGTTCTGACTGCACAGTGGTGACTCTGCTTTGCTTCTAGCAAGAGCTGTCAGGCTTGGCTACGTGGCAGGAAAGGGCTAAGAAAGCGGAACCGACCGTTTGTGAAGTTGTGCTCCGGCTGGAGACGTGGAGAGGTGTATGCTACGCTGAACAACAGCTCTCTCGTGGCACCTTAGTTCAGACAGTCAGCTGTTAGCAAAAAGGTGGTGGTTCAAGTTCACCAGGCACTCCGCAGGAGCGTCTGCTGCCGTGTAGATGCCAGCCTTGGGAGGCCTCCGGGGCAGGGCATCACCGCAGTGCTAGTGGGACGACTTCTAGGGGTTTACCCTGTGGGGTGACGGAGAAGTAGGAGAGGTGACTGCAGAGAGACAGGTGTGATTCTAAAGTTTCTCTGCCTCCTCGTCCTGGACATCCAGCCATGTGGTGAGGGAATTGCCCACACAGTACGACCTTGGCCCCCAACTCTGCAAAAGATACTAAAGGAGACGCCTGCCTGGCCCCTGTCAAGGCTCTCTGAGAACCCCCAGATCTGCAGGTAGCCAGGTTCTACACATTTCAATGAGACCTCTTCCCATCACTCCTGTTATTGAAAAGGGAACCCTGCTAACCCAGCAGCGGTAGGTTCAAATCCCCCCACAGCTCCCCAACAGAAAAAGGGCAGTCACCTCCTGTGTGATTTGCTGCCTCTGAAAACCCACTAGAGGGTCAGCTCCAACCTGGGGACACACACAACATTACTCATAGGCGAAGGGTCTTCAGCTTTTAACTGCTGAACCAGTGAGAAAGCGCCCCCCCCCCAACTCGTTACACCCACAGGCCAAAAGTGCACGCTCTTTAAAGGTGCCGTTTCATGTCTCACCACCCGAGTCCCACCTAACCCTCTAACAACTCAGAGCCTGAGGCAGAGTTAGGGGGAGACAGGTCTTCCACTCTCTCAGGAAGGCCCAAGGCCCCTCAAAACCTAAAGGGATGCCATGTTGTACCCCATGCCACATTCTCTTCTGAAAGGAATAATTTAATAGGAGAAGAGGCCTGCATTGGCGCCAGGGAAGTGCTCGTTGCATATTCCCAGCAGCGTAACGGTTGCCAGTGCCCTGTCTCGCCAACCTGCCCACTTGGACCTGCTGGGTCCAAGAAATAAACATGCATGTCAAACCCAAGCACCAAACTGCCCAGGTGAAGCATCAGGTGTGTGACCCGCAGTGGAGAAGGCCCCTCTTATCAATGCTTCTGTTGAATTCAGTCTCTCTCAACAACAGAATCCTCAGCTGGGGCTGTTCTTAACAGTACACACGTAACTGTTAGCACTGGCCCATCGCTGGGTGATCTAAAGTTTCACCAAGTTAGTGCCCTTTGCATTCAGCATTTCCCCTATAGCTATCCAAAATGGGGGCCACAGGTGAAGAGGGAAAGGACCAGGGGAGGGGTCAGCTGTGGCTGGAGTCAGCGCTCCAAGCGGAGACAGTGCTGCAGAGAACACTTCCAGTGACGCCTGGGTCCCCCCAGCAGGGCACAGCCAGGTGCAGTGTGACCGACAAACCTCCTTTCTAAATCAACCAGTTGGTGCCAAGTTACATCCGAGTCAGATGTGTGAGTCAGAGCAGAAGGCTCTGGAGTTCTCCATTATGGAGCATTCAGAAGTAGATCACTAGACCTTTGGGGGTTGGGAGTTTGGTTTTCTGAGGCCTCTTTGGTTGTACTTGAACTTCCGACCATCTGGTTAACAGCTGAGTGATCAACCATGTCACAGTCGTGGAAAGGAGGAGTTGTGAGGGGCCGGGGGTGCAGAGGGACTAACTGGCTGTTACTGTTAGGTGCTATCCGGTTAGCTACAGCCCTCAGCGACCCTGCTCCCAACCGTGCTAACGCCCATTGGGT